CTGCTTCCGTAGTTGAGCCGAAGCACCTCTCTGGCCGCCATCAATAAAGCGAAAATTTCCGCCTGAAACACAGTGCAGTACCGACCCAGAGGGACCGACAAGCTTGATCCCGTTGTTTCGCAGTACGCTCCAGCTCCGGCTAGATCTCCCATTCTGGACCCGTCCGTGTACCAGACAAGTCCATCCCAGGAGCCGACTCTGCCCTCTCTCCAATCTTCCCTTGATGGAAAGAGAAAGGTCAATTTATCAAAGAAGGTCATCTCGGGGACCATGACGTCACTCGGCATGCTCATGACCCCGCGATCCCCGCGACAGCCCTCTAAAATGTCGTACGGACCCCGATTGAAGGTTCCCTCCCTCCAGAGCCCGCAGCTCGCCAGCCTCACAGCTGTCCTGGCCGCCTCCATCTGCACCCGATCCGCCAGAGAGGGCAGCCCCACCAGAGCCTCCAGGGCCCTCGTGGGCGCCGTTCTCATGGCGCCCATTATGCAGAGGCAAGCCAATCTCTGCAGTCTGTCAAGAACTAGCCTTGCTCCCGCTCTTTTGGTCCCCGACCACCACGCCACTGCCCCATGCGTGAGCATAGGCACCACCATGGTACCGTAGATCCACTGCATGATCTTCGGCCCCAGGCCCCAAGTGCCCCCTACCGCTCTCCGGCACGCCCACAGAGCTCCAAAGGCCGACCTGGTCCTTGATCTTATATGTTCCTGAAAGGTCAACTTAGAGTCCAACCATACGCCCAAGTACTTGACACTTCCGCTTGCAGAAAGAGGCACCCCATCCATCTAAATGTTGAGGTTGCACTCCATCTTCCTTTTCCTAGTGAAGATGATCATCTCCACCTTGCCAGGATTGACAGCCAACTTGCTGTCCAGGCACCATTGTGAGAATCTTGCCAATGTCCCGTTCAGGAGCCCCTGCATCCTCCTCACGTCCGTCCCCTGCGTCATTATCACAAGGTCGTCTGCATATGCCTGAGCATAGACCCCGTGTTCTTCCCTCAGAATCTGCAATATCTAGTTCACCACTAGGCACCACAGGAACGGGGACAAGACCCCGCCCTGTGGACAACCCCGTGATGAACCGATGGAGACCTGCTCCCCACCCAGTCTTGCCTCGACCCTCGTGTCGGTTAGCATGGAGCGGATCCACCTTACAATGGCCGTCCCCACCCCAGTACTCTCCACCGCCCTGCAGATCGAGTACAGGGCCGTGTTATTGAAAGCCCCTTCGATGTCAGCGAACACGCACACCGACAGCTGTCCCGAGCCCATACCCTCCTCCAACCTGGAAGTCAGATGGTGAAGAGCTGAGCCCACAGACCCGCCACTTCGGTACGCATGCTGAGCTGGCTCTAAAGGGGCCTCCAGCTCCACCCAGTCCCACAGATACCGGCCCACCAGCCTCTCCAGAGTCTTCATAATGAAGCTGGTGAGGCAAACAGGCCGGTACGACTTCGGGTCCGTGTAGTCACTCTTCCCTACCTTGGGAATTAACACTACCCTGCTGTGTCTCCACAGCTCGGGCACGTACCCCCTCGCAATGGAGGCCCTGAACAGGTCCATCAGCGGGCTAGTCAGGAGACCTCCGTCCCTTTGCAGCAGAGCCGGGAATACTCCATCCCCGCCCGCCGACTTGAAGGGGCCAAAGCTGTCAATAGCCCACCTCAGCCTACTCCTTGCCGTGGCGTAGTCGCATCCAAGACGACCCCCGGCTTCAATATTCCCCCCTGTGTCCGGATCAGCGGACCCTGGGAAGTGCGTGTTCAGCAACTGTTGTAGTGTGTCCGCTGGTCCCGCTGTGTAGCCACCGCCGGTCCTGCGGATCACACGCAGTCTTCCCGCAGGGTCACTTCTGAGTACCCTAAGGAGCCTAGCCGCGTCCGGGGTATTCATTACTCCGTCGCAGTAGCCCCTCCAGGCCCTCCTCTGTGATGCCCGTCGTTCTTTTTTGTACTGTGTGCGGACCTCCCTATAGAGATCCCAGTCCGTACCTTGGCTGCTGCTCCTCGCTGTATTGAACAGCCTCCGCACTTTCCTCCTGAGACGCTCCAGGGAAGAGCTCCACCAAGGGGTCCTTTCCGCCCTATGCTTCTCTGTTTCAGGGCAACTATTCTCGAACGCCCGCATCATAGCGGAGCTGACTCGGTCGGCGGCCTCGTCAATCTCCTCCATTGTGCGGTGTTTCCTTGGTAAGCCCTCTAGGCGCCAAGCGAGTTCCTCTCTATAGAGTTCCCAGTTTGTTGCCCGGGGGTTCCTAAATCTAACGGATTCCCGAACACCCATCTCCAACCCAAAGGTGATGTATCTATGGTCCGACATAGAGTCCTCCACACAGACACACCACCCAGTTATTTCCGGGAGCAGAGCCCTGGTACAAAGTGTTAAATCTATGACCGAGCTCCGACCCGTCGTGAAAAACGTGGGTTCTACCCCTCTGTTGGCCACCTGCAGCCCTGCAGAGGCCATGAACTCCACGAGGTCTCCCCCCCTTCTATTCGTTGCCGCGCTGCCCCACAAAACGTGGTGAGCATTGCTGTCACAGCCAATCAAAAGAGGAAGATTCGCCTCCTCGCAGTAGGAGACCAAGTCACTGATCTCCTGCGGAGGACAGCTGCGGTCGACTGGAAAGTACGCAGAGGCGACCACTACCTCCCTCACGCCGTCCCGAGTGGGGGATCTGACCAGAATTGGAACCAGGTCCCTGGACGCCTTGTCCCTTAGGAAAAAGGCCTCCAGCCCCATGGTTAAAATACAGGCCCTGGGACCGCCCTCTAAGGAGTCGACACTATGCAGCATCGATCCTCCCAGAGATAAGCCCCTAACCCTTGATTTTACAATCCAGGGCTCTTGGATCAGTACAATAGATGTACCGCCCTCCGAAATTTTCCTGCATAAGTGGGCCGTTGCAGCCCTGCTGTGTTGCAGGTTAATCTGTAATATCCCCGTGAAGATGTTATTGCGGGAATACCACCTGCGGGTCACGATGCTAGCCTCAGCCCGAATCCGAGCCCGAGGTAGCACCTCCCTCCGCTTCCGCTTCCTGACTGGTGGACCCTGATGGGATTCCCCGGACAACTTCCATCCGAGATACCTTCTCGGTTCTCGCTTCCTCGGAGGGCCCTCCAGAGGTCTCCTCCACAGAAGTCGTGGGCGCCGCCTCTCCGACAGGCCCGCCAACCTCCATGGACGAGCCCTCCTCGTGTGAGCCCCCCGCGGCCACCTCATCCTCCTGCGGCCTCGGCGCCGCCAGGTTCACTTTTACCTTTGTCGCCAGGCAGAGGAGAAGTGAGCCCTTAGCCGTGATGGCGCTTGCCGATTTCTCGTCCACGCCCACCACCAACCTTGTGCCCCTTGCATCCTCCGTCCTCTGCCAGACCCTCCAGGCACGGCAATCTAGGTCATTCTGAGCTGCCAGGCAGCGGACTAGTGCCTCATTCGAGACACCCGCCCCCAGGCCCGGAATCCATATCGCCGCCCTTCTCAGTCTCAATCCTTCCGGATCGACCTCCACCAGGTTTGCGAGCCCCCAGGGCCTGACGTTAATCAGCTCCCTGCGAACCCACTGGTTTCTTCATCCATCATCTCGATCAGGATGTGGCTCCTCCAAAGCCTAACCGAGCGTATCCGGGGAGGGGTGTATTGCCCCCCCTGCATGATATACATGCTTATGCGGAGGTTAAGAGACCCTATGAACCGCAGCAGGTCCTCGGAAGACAGGTCAGTTTCCTGTCCTCTGAGGCCTTTCCCGGGCCTAGCTTTCGCCGGGCCGCGTGTCGGCCGCTGATCCCCGGCAGGTGCCCCAACCTGGGTGGTCTCTTCCATTTTTCTTTTCCGCTTCCCGCCTGCCGTTTCCGGTGTGCCCCCTATGGAGCCCTCCGTTGACGGCGTGGCAGGATTCCTGGGCGCCGGAAGAGAGCCCGTCTGCGGTTCCGAAACCGTCACCGCGAGTCTCTTCTTCTTCGCCCTCCTTTTTTCCGCCCCACTCCTATGTCTGGGGCGGTGTGTCATCGAGGTGGTGTTCCCGGTTTGTACCGAGCCCTCCACCCCGCTGGCGACCTGGGGATCCTGTTCGGATCGCCCTTGGAGGGGGCCTTCCTGAGGACGCCCCTGCTTGCTGGAGCCCCCCTGGGGCCCCTCCTCCTTCTTCATTACTTCACATTTCATTTTTGGTTCCATAAAGTTCCCACGAGTAGCTAGGGAAACATAACGGTCCACCTCTGCAGAGCCCCGCATGCAGACGTAAGGCTTCCTTCCCCGAGGTGCGCCCGGTGCCTCGGGGTTAGGATCGGTAGAGACTGATCTTCTATTCAGACATGCATCCCCTAGCCCCGACCCCCCACCGTAGGATTTAGGATTTTTATTGAGGTTTACTCCTCTTGGTCCAAGTGGTGAAGCTCAGACTCCCCGCGTCGCGTGCCCACTCGTCGAGCCGGCCCCGACGCCTGGTTTATCAACCGACTACAAGCCAGTTGGCACCGTTATACCCTGTGCAGGCCCTTAGCCACGACACGACAGCTGGGCAGGGTGAGCTGGTCCACGACTGGTTATTTGTCAGCCCTATTGGATTTTTACCTCCTCATGCCTCCTTATTCCCAGCCACCCAGGCCCGTGAGGGCCTGGGCTCTCCCATCCGCCACCCGGGGGACGCGCCTCATGGATTGCTCAACCACAGAGGGTGAACTATATATATGTTTTATGTAATTAATATATAAATATTAAATATGTAATTAATAACTGCGTAATTAAGTGTCAACGGATTTTTTTCTTTTATATTTTATTTCGCTTCTTTAAGTAGTTCGGATCTTCTTGTCAGAAAAAACATATTATTTCCTGTAGATAAACGTAAATAAATGACTGGTAAATTTGAATTTCTGATAACTGTGACGTAATAACCTAGAAAGCCTATACCAGATAATAATTAAAAATATTTATAATCACTTGAAATTGAACAATCTGATTAGGAATCGTTTGATTATAAATAATAGTGAACACGCACATGCATTTGCAAGTTTCTCCATGATGAACATTGCAGTAGGATGTTTTTGTCTGCTTATGCCCGCCTTTGGGGTAAGAATATCATTTGAGAAATTTTCCAATGCAATATATCAGGGTTTTTTTTAATTAATATTTGTCAACGTATAATTTAAAATTCCTGCTGTGGGTAAATTTTAACTGGAGCGTCTCTTCAAGTTGTTTCAAATCATTTCTTAGCCAGAAATCTTTTCAATGTAGAAAACTTAATGCCGGTTTTGGTGAAACAAACATGACATTTATCTCATCTCTCTCATATTACTCACTGTTCTTGAGAGACTCAGATTGTTGGAACGTCTTCTCGTATAAAAATTATAGGGGAAACATATCAAATGCCTTTGCGCGTTAGTGATTTATTTTACCATTTTACCGAAATTGGCGTTTGGACATGCTTCAAAATTAGTTTAGAATCTCTTTACTAAAAAAATCGTTTTTTTTTTGTTTTTTGTAAAATTCACAAAATTTCTGGCATTTTTGTAATGGATTCTCCATTCTACTCTTCTCCAAAAATATTTTTACAGCTGCAGTTTTCTATTATAATTTGTTTTAAACTAAGCCAAATGAAAACAATATTCAAATCTTTTGAATGCTTGAAAAAATATAAAATTGTAAATGTTGTTTTCAGTGTTAGCGCCTATTTTCCAGTTATTGTTATTCGGAGATTCTATAAATTTTATGTTTTTTCATTGCGATAGAATTAGTATAAGGTTCTTTCCCATATTTCCGCTGGTTACCGTTATCAGACACCCTGTATATTTATGATAGATAATACTTATTTACATAGATAACATTAATTTATATACCCTTTTCTTATAGGGCAGTCTTATCACCTCACAAACACTCTCAGACAATTTTACGTACAATAACAAATTATTTTTTCGTATCAGAACAAACAAGATAAAAATCTAACGCCTTTGACGAAGATTACGATATGACATCAGGTCTAACCTTCCATCTGATAACTTTAGAAGTCTTGTCTAATAAATATTACAAACTTAAATAGTTAGTATATTGTAATATTTTCAAAAAAAATCGAAAATATTGACTTTTTGAAAACTAATGGCGCGTGATTAAAAGATTTGATAGCAAGTACTAAATATCGTTTTGATGCATGTCCGATATTCAAAATAATATTTAACATTGATCGCGTGACCAAGGTCATGGCAGCAAATTCGACCTAGAAATGGGACTAGAATTATTCAAAAAAATATTTAAAAGTGGTTAGGATGATATTTTGGAGCTATGTACGAAATTTTTAGTATTGTAATATTAAAAAATGTATTTCAAAAAGTCTTTAAAATGATATTTTAGAGCAATGTACGACTATTATAAATTATTGATTTAAATTGATTATGTCATATTTTAATCACAATTAATATGTTTGCAATTTTAACATAACACAAAATTTTATATTAAGAACAATCAAACATTTTCAAAAAAAAATCAGCGAAAGATTTTGTTTTCAATTTTTACAAGATGGCCTTCGCATTTTTCTTTTTTAATTTTCAATGATTATCCAACATTCCTCTAAAAAACCTTGAATGATATCGAGAAAGCGACAATCTTAGATTTTGATCTTAATAATATTTTTAACATAAATTTGACGCGAGCTGAGCAATATATCCTATCTAATTTAAATCATCGTCAAGCTCACTTTATTAACAAGAAAATTTGATTTTACGCACAGGCCATACTCAAATATTTATAGTTGGTTTTTAGTTAAGTTTATAATAAAGTTCTGTAAAGTTTATTATTAAGTTTTTTACTTGGCTTATTAAATATCTTAAAATTTTCTTTCAGACAATTCTGTTTCTTTGTGAGTGAATAAGACGATACGACCTTCATCGGAATTCAGAAACAAAAAAAAAGCGTCACTAATAATATATCTATAATAATTATCAATAATCCATTTATAGTTTTTGTTGGCTTTCTCATTTATCATTGTATAGTTTCATCATTATATAATTTCAATAATCAGTTGTTAAATATTTCAGTTGGCTGATATCGTAATATCAACCAAAAACGGTCAAGTTCAGGGACATGCTATAACAACTGCAAGAACTGGTCAAACGATCTATGCGTTTCAAGGAATTCCGTATGCGGTTCCACCTCTCGGAGAGTTGAGATTTCAGGTAAGTAATGAAATCATTCCCGACGATAAACAATAAACCATCTTGTACACGTCCAATCCTTTATAGGAGCCAATACCATCGGCACCATGGGATGGAATCTGGGACGCTACTTCCGATGGTAGTGCGTGTATAGCAAGTAATTACAATCCAAGCAGCCAAAGTGAAGATTGCCTATTTCTAAACATTTTCGTTCCATCACTGAATTCATCGGTAAGTAATTTTCAAATCTGATGTGAATTCAAGTTTCTTCGCACACACATATTAATTTTTTTGGTTTTCGTCCCGCAATAGAAAAAGTACCCGGTGATGTTTCACATTCATGGCGGTCGATACATCGGGAGTTCTTCAAACTTCAATTCTTACAATCCCAGTTATTTGGTCGAGAAAGATGTTATTGTGGTTACACACAATTATCGACTGGGTCCCTATGGGTTTCTCTCCACTGGCGATTTGGCGATTCCCGGAAACGCTGGCATGAAAGATCAAGTTCTCGCTTTAAAATGGGTCAATGAAAATATCGAAGCATTTGGCGGCGATGCGTCAAAAATAACAGTATTCGGTCAAAGCGCAGGCGGAAGTGCTTGCGGATTGCAAGTTCTAAGCAAGAAATCGGCAGGTAAAATTGAAGCGCGGAAATTCCAAAATTACATTTTTGAGATATTCAAGAAAAACTCTTTAAATTTATAACAATGGTTATAATTGCCGGTGTTCGTGAAAATATGGCAAATATAGGTTACTCAATTATTACGATAGGCACATATCTCAGGACATGCGGCGGGGCACGTACGACAATTCTACAGCAAAATGTTAATACGTATATCAAAAAATGGCACATACCCCCTTTGACATTTCCACTCTTCAGTTCTTGAAATTAACGATAACATTCACATACCAACTAAACTCATTGGCAAGAATTCTTGCACTCTCTACCCATCTCAGATGTGAAATGAAATAAATATTTGATTTACATTTTTAGGAGAATTTAGGAAAAATATTACGGAAAATTGAAAACAGTTTTTTTATTTTTTATTAGTAATTATTGATTTATTAATTAATTTATTATGGTTTATTTATTAGAAAATAATGCAAATAAAATTAATTTAAATATACGAACTGGATTCTACTTTATGAAATAAAGAACAAATTTCAGTATAAAAAAGTATCTACTTTTTACTAATGCATGAACACGTCAAGGCGTTCCTACTGTCTATTGGCGGGCATTTTCGATGGTGTATTCGTAACTGTAAAGAAATATGTGTTCAATTGGTTTCATATTTAATGAAATTTGAAATCTCTGATCTCTACGAGTACTAGAGTTGCCAACTTTATAGCCCAATGGATAAATTATTGTTCTAGCAACATTATTTAGGTGAAAATTTACATTGTTTGTTTGTTGTATAAACATGAACTCTGTCCCACGATGGTACGTAATGCACTCAAACATTTACATATTCTTTTCACCTTAATATTGAGCTGCTTCAAGAACTGTATTGAACCTATTGTTCTTTCCACATGCTTGTCTTATTATTAATTGTCAGTTTTTTGTTGCAAATCGAATTACGGCTTTGGCCGTCTCCTATACAATCCAGCACCGGTTAACCTCCTAGAATTTGTCCGGTTTGATATCACTTGATGGGACGTAAAAATAAAATCGCAGTTCTCGAATGGAGGCTGAATGAGCAACATGAATTATGTTGTGGTTCATTTGGGAAAACAAAAAACAACTCCAGTTTCCACGTATGTACTTCGGCCAAGAATACGACGTCGAGTTCCTCTTACAATTCTATTATTATCAAATGTAGATATTTTAACACGAGGCATTTCTGACATAATTTAATCCGTTTAGCAAGACTGTTAAAAATTTTCAACCGAATCCTTCTACTGAAAATACCTTTCCGGAAAAAGACGCAAAACTTTACAGATAACTTTTGTGCCAGTTATAACATGCCCTAAGTTTAGGCCTATGCGGCTAATGAAAAATAAACATGGCGTGCAATATTCTTGCAATGACTATTTAGACAACGATACTGTCCCCAGATAATAATCAATGTCTTTATTTATCTTTATTTATTTTAACTACTGTTACTTGTTTTTTGAGTTTCATATTTCTGGTTCTGCTTTTATAATTTTAATACCCGCGTTTTTTTTTATAAACCATACAGGATTATTCAGAGCAGCTATATGTCAGAGCGGTTCAGGATTGAGCCCGTGGTCAGTTTATAGATCACCCCAAACTTTTGCCTACGCTCTAGCCAATTCTATCGACAATAGAGTAAACAACCAGACTTACAATACAACGGAGTTGAATGAGTTTTTAGTTAAACAATCAGCGTCCGCTATAATAAATGCCGCCAACGATATAGCGGAACTCTTTGAAAAAGAAGCAGTAAGTTGCATTTGTTTGTCGTTATATGCAGTGTCTTCACTCGCTGAGCCACAAAATTTGTAGGATCGTCTAACTCCTACCATCGAGGCCGAGCACGAAGGTGCCTTTTTAACAGAAAATCCATACGATCTAATGGAAAGTGGAGATTTTAATCAAGTGCCTTTAATAATAGGAATTTGTTCCGAGGAAGGATTAGCATTCGTAAATAGTGGGTTTCGCGTAATGCTGACTAATTTTTTATTTCATTATTCCGATTTATTATAGGCGTCGATATGGCAAAAAGTGAGGCAAAGAAGCTGGATTCGGAACCAGAATACATTTACCCATACGACTTTGAAGCGGAAGATCCATCAAACGAGGATACCATCGAAAACTTTATTAAACGCATATACTTAGAACCAAATCAAACGTTCGGTGATAATTTGTATCAAGTAATAAGGGTAAGAAATTAAATCCATACCCGTTCGTGCTCTTTAAACTACAGGCTTTTTAGTTTAAAAGTGACGACATGTTTACACGTGGTGTTATCAAACACGGAGAAATGCAATCCCGATTTGCTAACGTGTACTTTTATAAATTTTCCTTTGATGGTAGCCTTAATTACGGAAATACAAATATACCAGGTGAGTCGCATTAATCATTCGCTGAAAAATTTATTTTGATAAGCAGTTAGAATATAAGCCAAAAATTAGCGTAGCCAAAAACCAACTTAGAAACTGAATTTTATGTATCTTCTTTATAATTTTTAGGTGGCGAAGGAAAATGCCCTCATGGTGCAGATTTGGCATATTTGTTTACGAGGGGAGCTAACTATTCTAGCTTACCTGACGCAGATAAACTCATGATCGATCGAATGACGACGCTCTGGACCAACTTTGCTAAATATTTGTAAGATTTTTTTCTTGTATTATTGTTTTATTCTTGAAGATTTCAAACAGTTTATGGGTTTTAAGCAGGGATTTAATTGGATAGTAGAGTTATTTTTTTTATAAAAAAAAAATTTACATTGATTGTAAAATATGTTACGAGCCTTCGCAATTTTAGAAATCCCACACCCGAAAAAGATGAAGTGCTAGGAAACTTCATTTGGCCAAAGTTCAACGACAGCTCTTTCCAATACGTCAACATAACCATCAATTTCGACGTTTTGGAGAATCCCATGGAAGAGACGTACTCAAAATGGAATGAAGCATACTACAGATGGAACAAAAGGCCGTTCACCACATTTTGAAGACTACGTATTAGGAAAAGTTATTTAATAATGATATAGATTAAAGTTTCGATTGAATGGACTGGATTGGAATCTTATAATTTCTCAACAAATTTCTAAGTTCTCTTCTGAGGATTTTCCCGCTCGGATTTTTAGGAATTGATGATACGAAAATTACACCTCCGCGTAGCCGTTTTTGGGGGGATAACTTATCTGGAAAAAGTTGTTCTATTACAAAAAAAGATTTTCAATGCAAAAACAATATATTACCGGCGACGTATGACTTAATTTCTTCTTCATTCAGATTAAAACCTTTTTTTTGACAATGAATGCTAACGGTTTCTCTCCTACCGATTCGTCCGGCAAGCCAACAACGGCAACATCTTGTACTTTTTCATGGTTGACTAGTAGAGCTTCTATTTCGGCCGGGGCAACCTGCAATATTGTGAAAATTTAAAATGACAAGCATTTCAGAAAAGGGTTTACCTGATAACCTTGGTATTTGATTAGCTCTTTAATTCTGTCTATCACAAAAAAGAAGCCATCATTATCATAGTATCCGATATCACCGGTTCGTAACCAACCATCGCTAGTGAAAGCTTCTTTGGTGGCGTTTTCGTTTTTGTGATACCCCATCATTATCGTTGGGCCCTCAAAGATTAAGAATACAAAATAAGATTATTATACATCAATTATATAAACAAAATACAAATTTATTTTTAGGTTTTAGAAAATGCACTTTTGATTTTGGGAAACGCCTGAAATAAAGCCATTAACAGATGAAAGTAAAAAATCTTAAATTTTCGATTTTCTTCTAACTGTGGAACTGGAATTGTTCGAAAATTTTAATTATTTGTCTTGAATAGGAAAAATTTACATTCAAATTTGAAAAATTTGGAGAGCAAGCTAAACTTTTTTTGTAGTGATCTACCAATTTAAAATTGTATTATTTTGATTATTACTTAACATATTTGGAAATTTGGATTTGTCTTTTAATATTTAAAATGCAATTGTTAATTTAAAATTAGTAAACCTTACAGAAAATTTTATATTTTTGAAATACAATTGGTTTAACACTAAGGTCAAAGAGTTAAGGAATACATTTTTTAGCCTAAATTATATATTTGTTATTTTTGCCTTTTCCATCATCATATTCGACAAATTTAGTTGATAATGGTATATTATGCAACAAGTGTAGTAAACAGTATTTGAGTCACGAGTTTATTTGGCACTAGCGGAGCGAGTGTTTAATAAACGAGACAAAGTACCTAATTATACATCGATCTAGCGTGTGGGCAGCGTCACTTTACCACATGAGTTCCTTATTCCACGGATCTGAGCCCCTTCTGATATTTCCGGGATATTTGCGCACAGGTTTGGGAGCAATCGGTTGTTTTCGAAGATTTTATAGCACGGCTTGAATTTTGACGTTTGTCAATAATGACTGCCATGTTAGTCAATGTATTACAGTGACGAATCCGACTTTCTCAAAAAAATGCTTATATCTTTGTTTATAATGTACATACGGTGTGATGTTGAATAATAACAATTGAAAATTCTCTCTATCCATTTTTAAAAAAATTCTATACTTTGTCGTTATTTGGACTTTGAACATTAAATTCAGTAAATATATCAACATAAATCTACACAAAAAAAGATATTCTTTTATTATAATTATAAGTGGTGTCCTTGGATTTTTTAATGAAATTTCTACTTCAGTTACCTTCAAACAAATTTCTCCGGGTTGGTTAGGTCCTAATGACTTTCCTGTATCCGAATCCCTGACTTTACACGAAACAAACGGCATCACTTTCCCGCAGGAGCCAATTTTATTTTCGGTGGCAGTATTGCCCAAAGCAATAATTGTAGATTCAGTTAAGCCGTAGGATTGATTTGCAGATTTGCAGTTAAGTCTGTAAAAATTCAAAGCCACAATAAAAAATGAAATTCTACCTAGGCAGTATAACAATGGTTTTTAGTTTGTATTGTTTTAAATATCTGTAAATGTGTGTTTTTACCAACCTTCGCTTTACTTCGTCCTGAATAGTTTTGCTTAAAGGGGCGGCACCAGATATCAGTTCGTTCACGCTTGATAAATCGTACCGATTCAATTTTGAGGTTTTTGCTAAAAAGATCATCAGGGGCGGCGCCAAATGTAAAGTGGCTATTTTATAGTCCTGAATAGACTTGAGAAACACGTCCTCGTCGAAATGTTTGAATACTATAATTTTCTTATGTTTCGAAAATGATGCCATGGCAAGGAAAAAGCCGTAGCCGTGAAAAAATGGCATGAGTCCCAAAATTGACTCCGCTTCCATGTTAAAATACTGTGGAGACCTAGAACATAAAGTGTGGTCTGTATATGAGTAAGTTAGTAGATATTAAATCGATGATTTCCCCACTTATCAAAATAGTAGAATAATAGCAATTGTTTTATTATATTCCCCTTATATGTTTGACTCACACAAACAAGTTATTCAAGAAAACTTCTCTGGTCACGACGTAACTTGTTAGATAGTCTTAACAAGTTACTTTAAATCAAAGCAGTTTTTAATTTTTAGTTTACTTGGAGAATATTAAAATCTAGCTTACACTTAAGAACGAGAAAAGTGGATGGCAAAACAACCAAAAAGAATTTCAAAAAATGTTTGTATTTTCTTGTATACTTAATTTAAGAGTTGAAAAATAAAATGACTATAGAAATATTAGACAAGTGCTGTGGTGTGACTTTTTAGAGATATGTGCTGGTGGTTATATGGACACATTCAAGATCAAGTTTTTTGGGGACTAAATTGTGTTTTTCCATTTCTGTTTGATTTACCTCGCCAATGTTAGTAAGACCATGCAATTCAAGTGGGATAACATGACTCCCTTAGGCAATCCTGTAGTGCCAGATGAAGACAACACTACACTAATCATTTTTCTCGAATCTCCACCAAACGGACAAAAGAGGTGTATCTCGACCGATCTCCCTCCGAGCAGAGTTTCCACAAAATTTTCCGAGGATTCGGTACCTTCTAAACTCATTTCAGCTCCAATGAGGATAATTCTTTCTATAAAGTTCAGTTTTTTTTTCATGTCGACAAATTTATGAGCGACGGACTGGGAGCAAAATACTATTCTCGGTTGGCTGATTCTAAGCATATGATCGAGTTCCAACTTCGTGTAACTATGGTTTACTGGGGCGACTATGCATCCGTTAAATAGCGATGCAAATACAGCAACGAAAAATTGTAAACTGTTTTCGCTACTGATCCCACAGGTGACATTTTGACCCATGTATCCTGCCAGCCGAAGGGCTTGGGCAAGATTGCAGCTTTGGTCCAGGAGTTCCCCATACGTTATTGATTTCCCTGTTAGGGCGTCCACCTATAAAAGAAAGTTTACTACAAAATCTGACAAAATGAGAATTTGTCTTTTTGACTCTTTAATACTTTTTAACTTATACATTTACATAAAAATCTAAATTAGTACGCTTCTATAAGGTTGTACGGAGTGACACAATAGAGTGGTTAGGTTAGTTTTGGTTATACCTAATAATGCGTTGTATATGTATAAAAAGTGTTACTTCTAGACGTCAGTCATTCGGTTGCCAATAACTTTACACATTTTCGGTAGTTTAGTCAACGGTCTGGGAATTATCGCATGTTTTTGGTAGATTCCTTAATATATTCCTTTTGTTTAGATCATTTCAAAAACTAACAGTGATTGCAAGTTTCTAATTGAAAGTTCTGTATACAGTTAACTACAAAATAATGAACCAATATATTTTTTAGTTGGTTTGTTTGCAGCTGTCTAGATAAAATTTTCAAAATCAAAGCAAAAGTAACAAAAAATTAAAAGGGACAAAGCCGGAGCAGAGCAATCACCTGAGTCCAAAAATTCAAAAAAAGTGTGCCATTTAAAAATTAAAAATTCGAATGCAAATTCTGACTACATGTTAATCAAGAAATTTCAGATTCAGCCTTTTAGACTTTTCCAATTTTAAGGAGCTATGAGAAACCATTTATAAGTTTTTCACTTTCTTGTCACTCGGTTATGTGTCCAAAAGAATTAATGCAGTACTTCATGCTTTTTCCATGTAATGTAAAAATTAATGTTTATATAATATTTCAACACACATAGTATTAAAAAATAAATAATATAAATTTAGATTTAAAATTTTTTCAGGAAGTTAAAAAAAATAATTAATTAATGGCAAAAAGATTATAAAGATAACAACGTGTTCATGTATTTAATTCTATTAAAATTAATTTAAATTTAAATTTAAATTTAAAAATTAAAATTAAAATTTAAAAAATTTAAATTTAAAAATTAATTCTATCTAAAATTAATAAAAGAATGAAAGCATATGGTGTTATAGGAATAGAAATATTACGTATTCCATTTCGGCCGTCAAATCATAGTATATCATGTACAGCTCTGCTGTTTAATTATTGTTTTATTGTTTTGAAGAAGCAGCATGACAGTCATAGTTTTCTTACTTCTTACTATTTAGGAACTGTAATATCAACGCCATTTTGGAAAATTGCTGATCCGCTTAAACTTCTTATTCTTCTAATTCAAAAATATATATGGAGGTTCCGTTTTAAAAAAATGTAATTCCGTTTTAAATTTTCCATAATAGCGGATTCACCAATGATGAACTAGCCTATATAGACTTGCACAGATTTGCGTGAAAATAAGTGGCTAATATAAATAACCACAGAAATTTTTTTAATTTTTTCTACATTCGATTTAAGTAGTAAGTTATTGAACTTTAACCTTAACAAAATGTTTGTTGGTTTTGTAATAAATGTTAACAAAAATCTTTGAACCATTCTTACCATTGCTAAGGTTCTCCTGGGAACCTTGCACAACGAGATATAGATTTCCAATCCTAACGTTGTACTGGGCAATGGAACGTCTGATTCAGGTCCGTCAATTACAAACGTGTTGTCTTCTTCCATTTTGAACGCATAAATTTTCACTCACTAATTTGTAAAATTTTCAAGCGAGTAGATAGGTTAATTCTCTGAATGCGTCTTAACTGCCTTTGGTTGTTTTTTACTCTTATCTATTTTACAAGCCGTCGTTTAATGAAAACAAAGGCCCCCGGGTTAACATATGAGAGATAGCATTTTATATTAATAGATCGATAAGTGGAAGACACACCTTATATTTCAGGTTATCGGGAGATATACGCCCAAATATATTTGTGCAAAAATGTTCTTTAATTTATTTATTTCACACTTCATCTTTTGTCTACTTTTCGTACTTTTCGTAATAACTTAAATTTTAGATTGACGAGATTAAAATGTTTTGTTTTCTACGATTATTAACTAAAATACGTGTATCACATAAGCAAATTTAAGTTTGGAGTATCCTCGCGAAAACGTTTGATTTTCTAAAAATCGATTAATTATATAATGTAGATATGGCGGGCTGTAAATCCCAATCCCAGTTTTATACCCCGTTTGAAGCGAATAATAATAGTTTCGAAGTATGTTCTAGGAAATTTTCTTTTTGCTAAAACAGTGTTTTATTATTATTTCATAAACTTATTCCATATATACCACATATATATATATATATATATATATATATATATATATATATATATATATATATATATATATATATATATATATATATATATATATATATATATATATATATATATATATATATATATATATATATATATATATATATATATATATATATATATATATATATATATATATATATATATATATATGATGACACTATATTCCGGGATATCATCCGTTCGCTCGTTGAACTCCGACTGGAATCCTGCATCCGACTGGAATCCTGCAAATCTTGCATCCGACTGGAATCCTGCAGACGTTTCGCCAAAATCTCACTTGGCATCTTCAATGCTCGCGTTCCGAAAACACTTCGAACACTGGGAGGTTATCGGCGGTGCGTGCGGTATTTATACTCTGCGCCGGAGATGGTAACGGTGCTGCTTATGCGTGGGGGGAGGTGGCTCCGCCCCCTGAATTGTCGCGTTGTTAATTTCGCCCGATCGTAGTTGCGATGTTCCCGTTGGCTGCTGCGCATCGCTCTGCTGTTTGATTATCGTTCTCCACGTGTTGGATAAATGCAGAGCGTCGTCTCTCGTATTGAGGTGTCCGGACTTTTCTATTTCGATGGCCTCTCGTATAATCCTAGTCCTAAAATCAGGAATATTAGCTATTTGTTTGCAAGTGCCGAAATCAATTTTATGGCCTGTCTGATGTTGGTGCTGAAACAAAGCAGATGTTGTTTGTTTGTTTCTTATGGCTAAACGATGTTCCTCGAGCCTGGCTGAAATCCTTCTGTTGGTCTGTCCCACATACGTCAGGCTGCACGATCCGCATGCTACACTGTATACTCCTTGGTTTTCCAGAGTAATTTTTTGTTTTGGGTTTCTTAGTATTGCTCCGATGGTATGGTCAGGTTTGTATGCCGTTGAGATGTCGTTTTTCCGTAATATTCGGCCGATTTTGTCAGTAACCCCCTTGATGTATGGCAGGACAGCGATCGATCTTCGTTGGGTCTCGTCCTGCACTCTCTGCTGCGGCTGTTGTTGTTTACTGATTGCCTTGCTGATGGTGCGCCTTTGGTATCCGTTTTGTCGAAGACAGGTACTAATTTTCTTCAGTTCTTTATCTCTGTTCCTCTCGTTTGTGAGCCTGAAGGACCGAGCAATTAATGTATTTGCCACTGCCTGTATCTGTGATGGGTGGTGATGAGATTTAGCGTTCAGATATCTATTAGTGTGTGTTGGTTTTCTATAGACAGTGTGTTCCAAGTGTCCGTCTTCGGTCCTTGTGATGAGCACATCTAAAAAGGGCAGACTGTTATCCTCTTCAAGTTCTATTGTAAATTGAATCCTTGGGTGAATGGAATTCAGATGATCTAGGAATTTCAAAAGCTCCTCCTTGCCAAAAGGACAAAGCTAGCAAGGCCCTACTCCAAGACCAGATCAGGCGGACCCGGTACGAAATTAGTGAGACTGAGCTACAACTTTTCAGACTCCACCTGAAACTGAGCAACAAGATCCATCAGTTGCTGTGGGACCGCATAGAATTATTAACATCATGGCGCACTGAGAAAGACAAGGACATCACGTCAAAAAAACTGTGGAAGAAATTAGAAATCCTTCAGTCAAATTCCAAAAAATCAGGACAAGTGCCAAATACAAACCGAAGCAGTACAGTTCATAATATTTCAGCATACCATCTTTCCGATACAGAAGTCAGCGTACTGAATAAAGGATTTAACTACGCAATAGCTCCAAAAAGAGTACCCGTCGAAGAGATCGTTTCCAACGTCGAAGCAAGTCTTTCCACCATAGACGAACAAGATGCGGAGTTAATTAGGCAAGATGTCGCCAGAGTCTTAAGACAGTCAAAACCACCGCAACCAAACTTAAGCAGAGAAGAAATGCAAGCCTTAAGGAATCTAAACAAAAACGAAAACATTCTAATAATGCCAGCAGACAAAGGAAATGCCACTGTCGTCATGAATACGTCGGATTATAATGCAAAATTGGAGGATATGGATATTTTGAACGACCCAATATACAAACTAGTCACCAGAGATCCCACGACATATTTGGAAAAAACAACTAAGTCCAAAATTCTCGATTCATCAATAAACGAGGATACAAAGAAGAAACTTATTCCGAGGGAAAAATCGAGTCGTTGCCCAAAATTCTACGGGCTCCCAAAGATCCATAAGGACGGGGTTCCCCTGCGTCCAATCGTAAGCGCCTTTAACTCACCATTATGCAAGCTGGAAAAACATCTGGCCAGTGCACTTCAGCCTATAGTGGAAAAGGCAGATTCCTATGTTAAAAACTCAGAACATTTCACTCAGATTTTAGGTTCTCTCAGGATGGACAAGGACGACATTATGGCAAGTTTCGATGTCAAATCCCTCTACCCGAGTATTCCAGTAGAAGAGGCACTCTTGCTTATAGAAGAAAACGAAGATCTTCCGCCATACATAATGGATCTGTCAAGACATTGCCTGAAAAACGCTTACTTTATGCACAACGGGAAAATTTACCGACATGGAGCAGCAATGGGATCATCTCTCTCACCTGTGATTGCCAACCTCTTCATGATTTACTTCGAAAAGAAAGCAATAGAGAAGGCAAATCTGAAGCCAAAACTATGGACAAGATACGTTGATGACGTATTTGTTGTATGGCCTTTTGGCAAGGAGGAGCTTTTGAAATTCCTAGATCATCTGAATTCCATTCACCCAAGGATTCAATTTACAATAGAACTTGAAGAGGATAACAGTCTGCCCTTTTTAGATGTGCTCATCACAAGGACCGAAGACGGACACTTGGAACACACTGTCTATAGAAAACCAACACACACTAATAGATATCTGAACGCTAAATCTCATCACCACCCATCACAGATACAGGCAGTGGCAAATACATTAATTGCTCGGTCCTTCAGGCTCACAAACGAGAGGAACAGAGATAAAGAACTGAAGAAAATTAGTACCTGTCTTCGACAAAACGGATACCAAAGGCGCACCATCAGCAAGGCAATCAGTAAACAACAACAGCCGCAGCAGAGAGTGCAGGACGAGACCCAACGAAGATCGATCGCTGTCCTGCCATACATCAAGGGGGTTACTGACAAAATCGGCCGAATATTACGGAAAAACGACATCTCAACGGCATACAAACCTGACCATACCATCGGAGCAATACTAAGAAACCCAAAACAAAAAATTACTCTGGAAAACCAAGGAGTATACAGTGTAGCATGCGGATCGTGCAGCCTGACGTATGTGGGACAGACCAACAGAAGGATTTCAGCCAGGCTCGAGGAACATCGTTTAGCCATAAGAAACAAACAAACAACATCTGCTTTGTTTCAGCACCAACATCAGACAGGCCATAAAATTGATTTCGGCACTTGCAAACAAATAGCTAATATTCCTGATTTTAGGACTAGGATTATACGAGAGGCCATCGAAATAGAAAAGTCCGGACACCTCAATACGAGAGACGACGCTCTGCATTTATCCAACACGTGGAGAACGATAATCAAACAGCAGAGCGATGCGCAGCAGCCAACGGGAACATCGCAACTACGATCGGGCGAAATTAACAACGCGACAATTCAGGGGGCGGAGCCACCTCCCCCCACGCATAAGCAGCACCGTTACCATCTCCGGCGCAGAGTATAAATACCGCACGCACCGCCGATAACCTCCCAGTGTTCGAAGTGTTTTCGGAACGCGAGCATTGAAGATGCCAAGTGAGATTTTGGCGAAACGTCTGCAGGATTCCAGTCGGATGCAAGATTTGCAGGATTCCAGTCGGATGCAGGATTCCAGTCGGAGTTCAACGAGCGAACGGATGATATCCCGGAATATAGTGTCATCACATTTTTCCATCCGTGAATCAATACGTGAGAATATATATATATATATATATATATATATATATATATATATATATATATATATATATATATATATATATATATATATATATATATATATATATATATATATATATATATATATATATTGATACACAACGTGGCTTTTTTTCTCGTCAGGGATTTTTGATTTTAATTTACTAAAGTTTTGTTCTAATAGGTTATAACCTTTGTGTGCCACAGTAATGTCGTGTTGTTTGAACACATTGCACAAATTTTCCGATAGCCCTGGAACGTACGGTAATGGGAGATATTGTTTTTGAGTATTTTTCTTTTCGGATTTGTTACCAGCATTTTGATTGTAAAATTTATGTATCCGTTTATTGAAAATTTTATTTATTAATACATCGGGATAACAGTTTAATTTTAGGGCTTGTTTTGCTTTTTTAATAGCTTGCTGTTTGTACTCAGGATCGGACAGTTTAATAGCTCGGTCGGCTAAACCTATTATTACGGATTTTTTTTGGGTGATGGGATGTTGGGAGTTGAAGCTTACATACCTAGATGACCAAGTATCTTTGGTGTACCATTTGGTTTTGATCTGGTCTTTGCTGTGGTATAGAGTCAGGTCTAGAAAGTTAATGACGTTATTTTTTTCGATCTCTATTGAAAATTGAAGTTTGTTGTTGTATGAATTAAAATTTTCTAGAATATAATCGATTTCAGTTTTTGGGACGGCACTTACACAGTCATCGACATAACGATAAAATAGGGGGATATGAAGATTTATATTTTTTAGTACGGATTCTTCCAAATCTTCCATTACTAACTGTGCAATAACGCTGGAAACCGATGCTCCCATTGCACAACCATCGACCTGCCTGTAATATTTGTTATTGAATAAGAAATAGGTTGATGTTAACGTTAATTCTACAGCTTCAAGAAAGTGATTTAACGGAATGTCTGTGAAATGTTTAATTTTTAGCCATTTTTTCTTTATTATATCTTTAGCTAAAGGGATGGGGTCAATATTTAAAAAGTCGCTTAAACGGCCATAAATATGACAAAAAAAATAACACTGCTCTTTCGAGCCATTCCAGGGAGAATCAGCACTCGTTTGACTTTCAAAGTGTGAAAATTTTACGCTCAGAAAGCCACACAAAAAGACGGGAATTTTATGAAATGATTGAGATCCAAAAAAATGCAAACGCCATAAATTCTAAGACTGACACAAAAAATCTCAGCAAAATTTATCACAACTTAATTAAATAAAGAGACAAATTAACCCGTAAATCTCACACAAACCAAAAATAAAAAAAAACGCTTTAGAAAAAAAAAACTCCGTTGTCCTACCGTGAAGAAACGTACATCCGTGCTTTGCATTATTGTTTTGGTTCGTCTTATCAATGTGGGTTGTCGATTTACATATTCGATATGTCTGTTGTGAATGTTGTAAAACTGTAAATTACCAAACAACTATATAGTGAACCGTTGATTTTTGGCTTAAGGTATGTAATCGTAATATAAAAAATTCTGTATGTTTTATTGTTGTGCATCTATCTATTTTTATACTATTTTTAATCACTTTGTATGTTCTAGTGACTTGCACTAGTAATTTTTAATCATTTCAATCTGTTTTGCTGACTCCTTTACAAATTTTTATCTGTGTTTTAATTATGACCAGGAAAACAATGCTATAAATAAATTTATTTAAAAATACCTTTTTGTAGGTTAAAATTAAATGTCTGAAGAAGGTCTTGAAGTCCGAAACGTCACAAAAAATAAAATGTTTCACAAGTAAGGAAACTTATTTTAATTTCACTAAAAAGGGACCAGAAAAAATCCAAGAACCATTTCTTAAGAATATATAAAATCAAAAGGACCCAAGAACTCACAAACTATATATATATATATATATATATATATATATATATATATATATATATATATATATATATATATATATATATATATATATATATATATATATATATATATATATATATATATATATATATATATATATATATATATATATATATATATATATATATATATATATATATATATATATATATATATATATATATATATATATATATATATATATATATATATATATATATATATATATATATATATATATATATATATATATATATATATATATATATATATATATATAATGATGACACTATATTCCGGGATATCATCCGTTCGCTCGTTGAACTCCGACTGGAATCCTGCAGACGTTTCGTCAAAATCTCACTTGGCATCTTCAATGCTCGCGCTCCGAAAACACACACTTCGTTTTTCAAGAATAATGAACCATAGCCTGAAGAGTGGAAACAGGAAACGGCAGGTAAGGTCCATTGTTGTTTTTGATGCTCCACTTTAACTTTTCAGAGAACGCTGTTGCAATTATATCACCCTTTCAAGTTTTTCAGTTTTTTAATTTTTTTAAATTTGGTAACTAACAATCAATTAGAAGCTGAGCTCATTTTTCATTCTGAGTACTAATAAACTCTTAGGTTGACGTTATATATTTAATATCAAATTATACAAAAAGTATATAGTGTACATGAACACATGTTCATGCACTTTTCTTGAAAAGTACCAATCTATGTGCCGAAATTTTTTTACATTTTTTGTGTCTTTGAATTTTGTTGAAATCGCTAGTGGATGTTTTTTAGAAAATTCGCCATTTCAGTTATTTTTATATTTCAAATGGACGAATATGCTTATGTCCTCAAATTCGATCTGGAAGTGTTGAAAATGCATGTCGATTCTTCATTGAGAATTCTGACTAGAAAATATTTCTAAACGAACGAATTGATAGAAGAAAAATAAAAAAATGGTTATGACGTTAATAATAATAATAATTCAATTCCTTTTTTGAAAGGACGATTGTAGGACGATTAAATGCACTACTAATTTTGTTTTATTGTCCAAGCTGCTTAACTAATAATACTTGATAAATGTTGGGTAGAAGCAATATCTAGTACTGCTACACGAATTGCCATGGTAAAATGTTAAACGAAAAAAGTTTTCTGTTCAAGTTGTAAAGGAGACTGGGCGAAATATTTTGTCAATTATATTGTAGTTTTTTATCGTACGAAGGATGTTAGGCAAAACCTGTACTTCTTTACTTTATTGTACTTTTGCTTTATATGTTTTGGAATTTACGTGGATTCCGATAATGTCGAAGGAATGCCGAATATTAACGAAAATATTTGTGTTAATATTTCAAAACCTACCGTGATCAGGGTAGGATGAACGAGGAGAGGTTCATTCCATTCCTTTCTCCTGGGAGAACAATAAAGTAAATAAGAGACATCTGGTTGAGAGTATAGCAACTGTTCCAACGAAATCAATAGCACGCGGCAAAATAAGTTCCACCTACTTCCGAAGGATGTCGCAACAACTGCTATTTTAATAATGAAATAAATAAATTACATTCAGTAATGCTGGGAAGATATTTGAACTCCGTAATTATTGAAACATGACGCGACTTGTGGAGCCAGACGTTTGTTAGGGACGCAAAGTAAATGGTTTTGCGTTTTTATTTACGTACAAAAATACCCAATTTTAGAAACTAGAAAGATTTTTATAATAGCTAACTATTTAGATAATAACAAACAATTACTTTTTGAAACCTATATAGAGTTATAACCGTTTGCCTTTTGAGTTTTTGGATACCCTAGATGTTATAAGGCGAATTTCAATCAGTGACTTGAATACAACTGAATACTTACAACTATTCAGTTGAGAATCTATGAAATCATAGAAGACCAAGACCAAGAATACATGACCAAAGCTGTTCGTGGCCAGTTTTTTAGCGTGGTTTAGGTAAAGTAGTCAAATTTTTCTGAGATTATTGATGTTCTAGTTGTAGTGCTTCTTTTGGTGCCCAAGTGGGTTTTTGTTCCGACTGCTTTTGTAGTTTTGGTCGAATGTCGAATGTCGCATATGGGAGGTTATAAAAATACAAATAAGTGACAAAATTATTTATTTTCAAGAATCAAAAAGATTCTTGAGTTTATTGTCCATAATTAATAATACGATAATATTAAATTCATTTACTTAGGAATTAATGTTTAAATTTAATTTACAAAAAAGTAAAAAATATCTTTTTTGTTTTGGCGTTTGACTATGTCTTTTTAAAAAATTAAATATAAGGGGATAAAACGGCGTTTGGGGCGAAATTTTCTCCCATAATTAATGGTAGAATAGTTACCGAAAGTTACAAAAAGAAAAGTAAATTTACAGATCGTTTTAATACTTTTGAGCGGATGATGACAAAAAAGTATGGTGCATTTTTTAAATAATCTGAGTCAAAGTCAAAGCAAACGTGGACAAGTTGTGCTTGCTCGGAACCATCGCATAACGCAAATGCAAAGCTATAGATTTGTGTATCCGTGTGTATTGGTAGAAGTTGTATCTAATTTTTGCCAAAATGCGAAGAAAACGTTTCATAAAAATATATCTCTCACATATTAAACTTTATCGACTTATTTGTTGTAATAAGTATTTTGTATCTTATTTTTTTTATTTTTATATTTTAAGCAAATTACTGTTAGATTAATTTTGTGAATGCAAATATGATAACAATGCTATATTTCGTAGCCCTAAATGATGTGAAAATTCGCCTAAAATATCGCTCACCATACCTAAGCGACAAGACGTCTTCAGTGCAGCAAGTTGAATGACCCTATTGTTATGTTAAGTTTTTCGATAAAATCACAGGGAAAGTGTGGAATGGCGTAATGGCGCTTTGGCCGAAAAAACATCATTTTTTACTTAACGTGGACATAGATAATATTCTTTTGTATCCTTTATGTTTATATAAAAACCGACCACTGAATGCCTCGCTAGTTTTGTTTAAGCAATAGAGTACAATGGGAGGTCAAATTTAAAACTCCTGAGAACATCTGAAATGAACAGAATTAGTCAGTTTTATTAAAAAATTAATATGTTTTCGTCGACTCTAAATTTGGTGAGTGTTATTTCATCGATTTTGTGAAATATTAATATTTCAGACTTCGAATGCTGTATCGTGGCTTTTAAGACAAATGTCAGTGTTGAATAGGTATTTTATTTAAGGTAATCTTTTTGGTCGTTGCAAAGGAAACAGCAGAAAGTGAAAGTAAAAGTCCCATCAGTGCTGACCACGAGGCAGCGTTCAGCGATAAAATTATTTATCAAGTGTTACCACCAAACGGGTTGCCATATTCAATACAAAACAATGAAAACGGAATACGATTATTCGAATTGCAGTCTGGTAAGCCAAATAGTCACTTCTAAAACTTTAAAATTTTTATATCTAAGAAATTTCAGCACGATCCCCTTTTTGCAATATTCACCTGACACTCTGATTTTTTACATTTTGTCTGCATTATTAAAGTCAATTTTGGTTTTAGATTATAGAATATAATATTATTTATTACATTTGACATTTTTTTCATGCTAAGTCATTTGAACTTTCAATGAACAATGAATCTGTGAAGACAGTCGACAAATTTTATTTACCGGCTTGGAGTGTTCGCCAGATAGCATTTTCAACTAAATTCTAAATTCGATTACTGTAGGATTCACGTGAATGTCGTTCAAAGGACAGATTAACTCGAACTTTTGGTTCAACTGTATAATGAGTGTAAAATTTATTTTAGGTCCACAAACTAGTCCCTATTATAACTTTGTAACGCCACAAATACCTACTTTGGCGGATTTTCACGGAAATCCTCTGTTGTCGGCCTTACTTCTTAGTTCATCCCTGGGAATCCCAACATATAAATATCAGGTAAGTCGCAGTTGCTACTTTCTCCCTTCATTTAAACATAATTCCTTTTAATTAGAGAAAAATTAAATTATAGAGGCAGTTCATTTCGATTTCCTTAACTATGATATTAGGAATGGTTGTAAGATATTCAGTATTTTCCTAATTTCCTTGATATCAAGTTTTTAATACTTCAGCTCTTATGAACTTGGTGGTAGTATTATCAACCTGGATCCTTTTATATGTACTTATATATCTGCTTGCCAATTTACTCTGCCAGGATTAGATTTGTTTTAAATTTTTAACAAGAAACTTATATTTCTGGTGTAGGTAATTTGTATCAATAGGATGTATAGTGTGTTTTAGTATTAAATATTGCTATAATATTGAATAGATGCTCAGGAGCAATGATACAATCATACATTGTATTTTTAGGGATTTAACCATCCGGATCATTTGCCGGTCAATCCATACATCGCTTTGTTGCTTTCCCAATATGGACGTTATTTACCGATCAATTCATTGAACGGCAAGGGTATCTATTATTATGGAGCTTCCAACAACTATCACAACAACAAACCTTTCGGGTCATACAAAGTTTTCGAAGAGAGCAAATAACCACTGTAAATTTGTACTCGGTATGTAAATAAAAAGTTTTAGTCTACTCCAATTTAAGGAAACCGAACACAACACAAACTTTCTTAATTTTGTAACAGATTTTCCGTGATCCCCAAATCGACCTATTTTTCAAAAGGTGGCTTATTGTGCGTAAACATCGACAAATCTCGTCTGGTGATTAAACTCTGCGCTTGTTATATCATTGTCCTTTTTCCCATTGGACTGCAGCCTGTCAATTCGGCTCTTGTAATTCACAACCCGCTGTATGCGAATGGCAGTGAGAGCAGAACATTTTAGAGCTCTGTCACTCTATAAATCCAATCTAAATGTCCGAAATGCCTGACATATTATAAGCGTTTGCAGGCGAAATACATTTTTGAAGTAATACGCATGACATGGGGCGAATTTAAATATTATGCTGCCTTTCTTTAAGAATTTTAATAAGAATATTTTAAAATAATATTATTACATTAAACAGGGTTAATTAAATTTGTATTTTGAAAACTTCCTAGCCATGAATATTTTGATTTAAAAATAAAATGGGATAACGTGTACAACGGATATAGCAATTAAGTTAGTATTAGGTAGATATAGTTCTCCCAGATTACACGAGAGTAGTAGAATATTATCAGTTTGATTGTATCGGAGCTTTGAGGCACATTTATGTTTACAGAGGAGCCTAGAAGAGAACACGCGCATATACAAAATGCCATAATAACTAACCTAATTTTTTTCTAAAAATTCCATGAAAATCCGGTGTAGAATATTAAATGAGATCTTAAATAGATTATTTCATATTTTTAACCTTTCTGGAATGGTAAAGTCAAGACAAAACTATTTTGTTGTAGTAGCTTGTGAATATTTTATATCTAAAGATTATTAAAATGGTCACCTAGTGGTGGGACGGTAACTTAAATTTGGTTGAAAATTAATTTTTAAATGTTCTGCAGAATAGTTATTTTTTTCTTACTTAAATTTATTATTTTGAATACTTACATTTTTGCAGCATCACAAAAAGTGCTTGTCAGTATAACATTTTCAAGCATAGTAAATACAGTATATATTAATTATTAGAAATATCTTAATTTCCCTTAGCTTTAAAGATTAGAATGAAACTCCCTAGGAAACTTTAAAACTATCTTAAAACGTAAAGATTGCTATTATTATAGTTTGCGAGAAATTTGAATCGAAATGCTGCAAACAGAAATTGAAAGGGAACAATGAAACATTTGTAGAATGGTTAAAATCATTTAATTCTTTCAGTTTTGCTTCTGCTAGGCAATATAAGTATTATTCGCTGAAAACTAGCAAATTAACTATCGAAATTGATAAAATTTAATAAAAAATGTTGCCGGTATGTTTTTTCATTAGAACTTAAACTGCGTTAAACTTCTTGTCTGTATAATATTCTTATAGTACTGTGAAGACCGTCTTGGTGTTCTGGTAAGATTTCTTGAAGCAAAATCCACTTGAATTAATCCAAGTTTAGCTCTAAAACGATCAAATAAGATACATCAATGTTTCATTTGAAGAGGAACTTACGGTATAAGCGGTGACATATACGTTGTCTTCGTTAATTGCCATAAGCACCTCCTCCATATAATTCTGAAAATCTGTCTTTTAGTTGATGAAATATTATCAATACGATATCGTTGTGACTACTACTCTCTACTCTGAGACGATGTTTAAGTGACACATTTATTATTTCTAACAACGATCGCCAATGTTAAGAACTACATTATATGTTTAAAGAAAAGAATGTACAAAGAAACCATTCTAGTAGTTGATTATGAAACTTATTTATGATTTATTTATGACCACCAACAGGAATAACATTAGTTACTAATATGGTACTAACCTGCATAAAGGTCATACGAGCAGTATCATCTAGAGTCTCATTTGGAGTATTAAATCCGTGTTTCGTCAAGACGATTTCGCAGCCGTTGCAGTAGTTGCTAGCGTAAACTATAGAATCCCTAAATGTTCTTGGTGAAGACTGAAATCATACATTTTGAGTTTTAATTTCTTTTAATCTAACTATTTTATACCATCTTACAATATAAAGTGAAGACATATCGAGAGAGGAGTTTGTAGTTTCCTTCACTCTCATATCGTTCTGAAAACTGAGAGATAGATTTTGGCCGCTGAGATCACTTGCAAAAAACGTCCTGAATGCATTAACCCCAACGAAATCGTAGGTTCCTTTAATGTTCTCGATTTCCACGGTGGAATACCGAGGTAATCTTGATACATTTCTTCCTTCTTGTTGACTTAAGTTGCCAACCTGGTTAATGAGGATTGGAGGGTAGTCGCCTTTTATTACTGGATGAGCAAACCACTCAAACTAAAATATTTATATAACATTTGGTTTGAAATGAAGTTCTGAAAAAATATATGGCATAAACCTAGATTGTCTAGGAAACGATAAGATTTTGAAACTGGAAAAGAAAGTATGTTTGTAACGATACATGGGCCACGATAGTGCAATTCAAATACGTATAACCGACGAACGACGTTGGTACGTACCACAAATGCTCTAGCTCGCTCAGCAGCCTTTTTGTCGGCTTCAGAATTTGTTGCTGGGAGGTACCAATATATACTGTACTCCATACCCACCTTACCTGGAAAATTAAAAATTCTTAGTAATTTCAAACCAAGTCGGCAATTCGGTTTAACCTTTTTGAGTAGCCTTGTAGTTTTTCTCGTAGTTGCGATATGCCCGGGCGTGAGCTTTAATTAAATTATGACCACATTCGTATTCTTTAAAACCCAGATTTTGAGGAACAACCCGGTGTAGAGTATCTTCCACTATGATTTTACAAAGTGTATGACCTTCATTTATTGTAACCCAGAATTTAACACGGTCTCCGAAGGTTTTAAAGAGTAAATCGGTGTAGTCCACGAAGTGGTCCACGGTGGAGTCGTTGCTAAATCCTCCCCCCTTCACCAATTCATACGGTAAATCATAGTGGAATGCAACCGCTTGAGGTTCTAACCCTTTGCTTATAATTAGGTCGATCAGTTTATTGTAATAGTCTATTCCTTTCTGGTTGATACATTCGATGGTACCTGTAAATTTAAATTGAAATTTTGTTGTTAAAAACCCTGATTAACGGAAACTGAAACACCCGAATGTACCTTTGGGGAGAATCCTTGGCCAGGAAAAGCTGAACTTGTAGAAATTAAGTCCGATATCCGCAAACAATGGAATATCCTCAGTGTATCGGTGATAGGAATCGCAAGCTATATCTCCATTCTTTCCATCTACAATGATACTTGGGACCGCGTGAGTGATGTTATCCCATAAGCTGGGTCCTTTTCCGTCTACATTCCAAGCACCCTCAATGGGGTAGGCTGCGGTAGCTGCTCCAAATTTGAAATTAGCAGGGAATTTGTAGTTTGATAATGCAAATCCACTAAAAATTTGAAAAACCTCAAACAATTGATTTAAACAGATAATTTGTTTGTTTAAATATGTCGTGTATGATTAAAATATGTGTAGTGCATTCGGAAACAGAACTATCGAACTAACACAACAAACTATAAATGAATAAATGAATGAATGAATGAACTATTAGGTCTACTGATATGGCTGAGTCACAAATTTTGTATTATTTGAGGATAAATGTGTGAAAAAATTTAAAGTTTATTATATACAATTATACATAACACGAATCAATGCAGTTTTCATATTAGTCATTTTCGAATATTGTTTGGTGTACGTTTTTCAGTTTCTCGTAGAAGTCGTAGGAAAAAATACTTACATTCGAAATTGAAGAGAAATTAATGCGGCAATAATGTGTGCTAGTACATATGCATCTTTCATTGTTCCTAAAAGCAAATCACATTAATTAAGCTAGTTGATATATTTATTCCCAGATGAAGTCTAAAGGTAAGCCTTGGCCAACTGTAAATTTGAGAAAGTTTAAGTTTATTGTAGTTTTCAAAGTTTATGTTTTATTGGTTCCTGTAATCGAAAGTCTCATTTAATTGTGACGTAGTGGTTTTATGTTAGTAAAAGAGTTAATTGTATCAATCAGCCCTTAATAATTTATTTTGTTCATTGATAATTAACTGTATAATTGTATAAATGTTAACACATTTTTCTTAGCTAGGTTTGATAGATTCCGTTGAAAATGCACAACAAACAAATTATATCTAGTTTCAACATCATCCTGCTGAAACTTGAATATATTTGGAATATTTTATTTAATACAAGAATAAAAAAACAAAAAGTTTTAAATTTTGATTTTTCTCAAGAACGTGATTTTTACACTAAATATTGGCATTCGAAGGCTGTGATACTTAAATATTGCCATTGTAACAATATTTTGTATTTGTGTCAAGAACATATATTGTTATACATAGTACATATAATTGAAATTGAAATATTTTGAAAAAATATATTGAAATATATTTCTCGCGAACTGATCGCCATTAATGTGTTCATACGTAGATGCAAACAGTACAATGGTAGCACGACCACCAAGACAAAAACTGTACAAATTTATAGTACAAGTCTACCTTGGAAAAAAAATATATCAAATTACTCAATTACTAAACGAAGACTGCGAGAAAATACTTTTTTTAAAGTCTTTTAATGTGTCTCGATAAAAATGTCGTGAGATAAAGAACTTTTTGCGGTGCAGTAGTGCTCCCTAAGTAAACGATAAATTTGTTCAACCGAAATTTCCCCTATTTTGCACGCTTCAAAAGATATTTTTAATAACTTTCAAATATCGTAGTCCACATTCACATAAAGCTACAATTGCACTCTAGGAATATAATTTATTTATATTTTTAATAATATTTTGACATCGACTGGATATACTGAATTCTTGACCAAGCTAGTTTTTCCTAGGTCAACTCAAACCACCAGAAACAGGGGTTTATTTTACATAAAAATTCAATATAACGGCAGTTCCGTGGGTCTATTTTATATTGTTTTCGTTTTTAACATTTTTAATTTTCAGAACCAGAGTGGCACATTTTTTAAAAATATCTATGTGATTTTTTAATATGTATGTAACACAATTTTTTATTGAAATTTGGTGTGCAGGTACTTACCCAGTAATGTACCATAATGGAATGTTATCCTTTGATTTTTTTTTCAGTCCGATGTAGCGATTTCCTTTAAAACTAACACGAACAGTAATAACACAACAATTCAAAAAATGATAGCAGAAATCATTTAAGGTGGCAAATATCTTTCAAAAACGAAAATCGATAGTGACCGTTCAAGAAGAGCAAGAGCAAGTTAGCAATTTTTAAGCAGTTATTTAAAGTTTTGATGTAAATTCTATGTTCTGCGGACCATTTTAAATAAAAGCGCTCTAGTAATAGTTTATACAAGTGTGGTAGGATCTTTGTTTAATTGTATTTGCATAGTAGTCTGCAGATGCGCTTACAACTTACAACTATTGTTTAAAAAACGTATAGGTATATCAGAACTATAATATTATCTACAGATCTACAGCTAAATCAATACTAACGATTCAAAGGCTTCGAGAATTGCACCGTTATGTGATCGATCGTAATGTTCATCTTCATCATCATCACCATCTTCTTCTTCTCCTTCTTCTTCTTCTTCTTCTTCTTCCTACTTGCTTTGCCCTCTCTCTTACAAGGTACAGATAAAATTAGTCAATACTAAGGATTCGAACATAGCGCACCAAATTCTACCCGTTTGTGTTCGATTATAAGCGCCTGCCTAGTCGCTTGTAGTATTTTTATTGTTATTATCTCCATAGCGACGATGACTGAGCTGTGATAAATTTATTCCATTTGCCCGAATTGCTGAAACCAGAATTAAAGCACTTTACATCTGCTCTTCTCTCTAATAACTTCCACATTGGAGATATTAATCGTTTCATCACAAAATACACTTCACCACAACCTTCCAAAGACAAGGAGTCCGAAAGCAAGCCCACAGTTGCCACTGTTGTCCTCCCTTATGTTCGAAACATCAATGACCACACATAAAAGGTTCTAAAGGAATATAAAGTCAAAATCAGGAGTTTACAGCAGTCCAACCATATGCGGCACAGAATTCATTAGGGAGAAAGGACGAAAAATATCAACTAGGCTCGTAGAGTCTAATTCTACGACAAATAAACTCATCAGAAGTTTCCGAACATAATCATGAGACCGGACATCAAATCTTATTCGATAAAACTAAAATTGTTGCATGCAATCAATTCTTCTGCAAACGAAAAATCAGAGAATCTGTAAAAATCTATAAGCAACCAAATAATCTTAACCAGGAAGGAGGAATCCAGACAATTTTTAAATATTATTACAGTAGCCTGTGAAAGTTTCTTTGAAAAAAAAAATGTTACCAAGTTAGGTTGGTCTAATTTGGGTGTAAAATTTTTAATATTGCAGTTTCGCTATATCTTCTGCTTCATCAGATAAATCATGGTTAATGTATTGTCCGGTTTTGTGTTGTTGTTGTTCTTATTTAATTTTGAATTTAAAGTCAATTGAATAAATCGTTTTTCTGGCAAAACATAATGATATCTTAGGTGTCCTTGATTATTAACTAATATTGCTATAGTAGTTGAATATGTTAATAATAATAATAAATAATATGCCTATTAATATAGCAAATATGAGTATAATGTTACTAATGCTACAAATGATCAGGTTTAGATTTGTTTGTTGTTAATTTATAGTTCGACAATTTGATAACAATTATTTAAATATTTAATTCTTATGTCACGTTTAGAATTTTACTCGAACATTACTTGTTTTATTGCGTCACGTTTACGCCATTTTCGCTATCTTCTAAATTTCGGTCAAAAAGTTTTTATTTTCGGTTTGTTGTCGTTAACATATTAATTTCTGTTAATTTTGTTGTTTTTATCTCACGTTCTTAATTATTTAAATTGCGAGCAACCAATAAGATTACAAAAAATTCTGCTGCATTCGATTACTAATTGCTTGTTCAAAAAAAGTCAAGAGATAAAATTTTGTTCCAAATTGAATGAGTATTTAAAAAATAAATTTTATTTTACAAAAAAGCAATGAAGTACAATTTTTTCCCTGAAAAATATTCAATGTAAATCTGCTACGGATGTCACTTGAAACACTGGAAGGCAGTGTCCAAAATGTCAATGAAATATCTAGAGAGATTTTTTTCTTAGAATTTCATCGCCCTGTAGCGCGCAAAGGAAGCGTTTCTTCCAGATATGTTTATACATAATATTAGAGCTTTTTTTTACGTAAAATATGTTATAAATTCAATTTGATGTATTGATTTTAGAACGCCCAGTATATGTTGGCTCAGAAGTCAAGTGGATGAGGGTCAGAGACAAACCGCATCTTTTAGGGTTCAGCGAACAGTGGAGAGATAATGGTTGCGAGTCATTTGAATGCGGTATGGCCGCAGTTTTGCTGCTTACCCGTTCGGTAAAATATGAACCATTTTGTTGAGATTAACATTAAATTGGAACTTCAGTTTATAAAGGTCTTTCGATAAAAGATGTGGATAATAGAGTCAATCAATTTCTGCAGGCCGGTCCGGTACTTAGATCATCTAACCAACTATGCACTGATCAAGCATACTCTATACTTTCACTTTCACTTTCGCCCGTCAGCCACGCTGACGAATGTCTTCAGTCAATCGTTTATTAAATATTCGCTCGAGTGGGGCCAATCCAAACTGGTGACTTTTATCAAACTTGTTGAATAATTGCAATTCAGTTTTTATTTCATGTTTTTTTTTATATCGCCAGTAGTTTCCAATACATCAACAATAGACACCATTTCGGGACACCTTGTATCAGTCGAGTTTTAATTGAAAGGTCTACCATAAATTTTCCGGTTAGAACACAATTCTTAAAAATTTCAAAATCAGTGAACAATAGCGTTTAATCTCAAATGCGAAGGAATGAGCATGCTCCGAACACTATACTTGAAAAAGATCCGAGAATACGTCAGATGACCAATTAGTTTAGAACCAATAACGAACGCGATATATTTTATTGTCATTAATATTGGTTTGATATTGAAAATACTGTTTCAATCGACCGTGTAGCTTATGTGCGATTAACCCTCTTTCAACACGCGATAAAGCGAAAAGAAAAATATTTCAGCAATGCATGATTCAAGATATTTTTTAAATAGGCTATTTGTTGTATGTCATATAGCTTCTGAGATAAAGTGCTGTCCCAAAATGTCTTGAGGAAGATATGAATTGAAAAAGAACTGAAAAGAAACAAATAAATATTTAGTTGGTTCGGCTTCAATTAGTGTGTTTACAAAATATGTGTTATTAATTAAAAACTGACAAGCAAAACTATCAAATCGTGAATGTGACCGAAGGTTCTTTACACTTCCTCCCCATTAAAACGTAAATTGTGTTAAACTTCTTGTCTGTATGATATTCTTATAGTACTGCGATGACCGTTTAGGCGTTCTTGTAAGATTGCTCGACGAAAAATCCACATGAATTAATCCAAGCTTAGTCCTAAAACGATAAGTAAATGTAAAAACAATATACATTAAAGTTCTATTTACGTACGTTAGACCAAACTGGAAATTAACGAAATCCATAGCAGACCACACGGTATAGGCGGTGACATTGACTTTGTCTTCGTTAATTGCGATCAGAACCTCGTCCATGTAAGTCTGGAAATCACTTTTTTAGAATGTGGAACGTTGTCGATAAGATTTTATTGTGAATATGACTCTGAAATTATGTTGACTTGAGCTTAGGATGAATAGTCAAGAAGTCAAATCTTAGAAGGCTAAATGTATGCTAAGTTTCCAAATGTTCAACCCACCTCAGTGTATGAATTTACTTTCCGGTTTGAGCGGAAACCACGGTAGATTCTTTTACGTGTTATTGTTGACTTTGAAGATTATATTTGTAAATGGAGACACTGTTAATGTTGGAAACTACTAGCAGACATAGTATACATAAGACTGGTTGAATCAGCACACACAATATAGATTTTCAGCAGAACAAGAAATTACTGTGTTGGCTTGGCCTGCTTATTCGCTGCATCGAAAGTCTATAGGGCGTTCGTGAAACATCCTCCTAATAAGACATTTACATATCCATTAAAATGTTTAAGTAAATTCTCTAAGTGACGGGAAGAATATAACAAGCTTCAAAATTCCATAAGTATTTTAATCGATGATTAAATGTGGGAATAAATTTTTGTTTAATGACGGTCGTATGTATACAGTGCAGCACACATACACAGGCCTAAATAAACTGTGCGAACAGTTTACAGGTTGTGAAATTTGGTAGCCAGATTTACCAAAAGTAACCAACTAAAAAATCGGACAGTCAGGAAGTCATCACGTCAATACTTTAAAATATAACGTATACCGAATCTCAACAAATCATGATTATTACCACCTAGGTATACTTAATAATAGAGTACTAACCTGCATAAAAGTGATACGAGCCGTATCATTTAAAGCGTCATTGCGAGCATTAAATCCGTGTTCTGTCAAGATAATTTCGCAGCCGTTGCAGTAGTCGCTAGCGTAAACTATAGAATCTCTAAATGTTTTTGGTGAAGACTGAAATTATATTTTTTTAGTTTTCTTTTCTTTTAAGGATATTTATATTTACGATATATACTGAAGAATTGTCGAGGGAAGAATTTGTAGTTTCGGCCACTCTGATGTCATTCTGAAGGCTTACAGATAGATTTTGGCCGCTCAGGTCACTTGCAAAAAATGTTCGAAATGCATTAATTCCAACAAAATCGTAAGTGCCTTTAATGTTCGAGATTTCCTCGGAGGTAAACTGAGGTAATCGTGACTCATTTCTTCCTTCTTGTCGGCTCAAGTTACCAATTTGGTCGATCAATATTTGGGGGTAGTTTCCTTTTATTATCGGATGCACGAACCACTCAAACTTAAATACTTACTGTTAAAATTTTGGTCCGAAAAAAGTACCCAACAAATCACGTAAACTCAAATTGTAAAAGAGAACGTCATAGGATCACTTTTTCACTCTAATTAATGAACGAAAGTCGGTAAATCAATTAAAAATGTGAATACAGATACAATTTCAATACATATAATTGAGGAATAGTATGATCACGTACCACAAAAGCTCTAGCTCGTTCAGCAGCATTTTGGTCGGCTTGAGAATTTGTTGCTGGGAGATACCAATTTATATTGAACGCCATACCCACCTTGCCTGAAACACTTAAAATTCTTAATAATGTCATGCCAAGTTCGTATATCGGTTTAACCTTTTTGCGTAGCCTGATAGTTTTTTTTGTAGTTGCGATAAGTAGCGGCGTGAGCTTTAAGTATATTATGACTGCATTGATATTCCTTGACCCCAAGCTCTTGAGGCACAACTGGATGTAGAACTTCTTCCAACACGACTTTGCAAAATGTTTGCGCTTCATTTATGGTTATCCAGAAATTAACACGGTCGCCAAAAGTTTTAAAGAGCAAATCGGTGTAGTCCACGAAGTGTTGAACGATGCTTTCGTTAGTAAATCCTCCTACGTTTGTCAGTGCAAACGGTGTATCAAAGTTGTATGCCACGGCCTGAGGTTCTAATCCTCTGCTTATGATCAGATCGATCAGTTTATTGTAATAGTCAATTCCTTTCTGGTTGATGTTGTCGATGGTACCTAATTATTATAAAATTAAAAAGTAATTGTTGTTCGATACTTGGTTAGGCTAGCGGAAACTGAAATAAAATATTGGCTTGCTGTACACAATCCAAAACTGTACCATTGGGAAGAATCCTTGACCAGGAAATGCTAAACTTGTAGAAATTAAGTCCGATATCTGCAAACAGAGGAATATCTTCAGTGTAACGGTGATAGGAATCGCAGGCTACATCTCCATTTTTTCCATCAACAACGATACTTGGGACCGCGTGGGTGACATTGTCCCAAAAACTGGACCCTTTTCCATCTAAGTTCCAGGCACCTTCGATCGGGTAGGCTGCGGTAGCCGCTCCAAATTTAAAATCAGAAGGGAATGTGTGATTCGATAGTCCGAAGCTCCTAAAAATTAAGAAAAAAAGTGTAGTTCCGCTCATCTATTCATGAACAGCATAGATATGTTAAAACTTAACAAATTATTTTATTCTTCATGTCTGTTGAGATTGCTACCTTTCTATAAAATATTCTAAACATGAAAAGTAGAGACAGCTATAAAAAAATTTCAACAAGTGAAACATTTTGCATTCTATATTCAAAACAAGATGTTAGCATTAAAAGAAATGAAAAGTTCTACATTCTATCTGGGTAAGGTCGTTAAAACGATGTAACTTATTCGGACTCGACTGTCACCTTGTTGTTATGAAAAATTTGTAAATGCCTAACTCATATTTGGGACAGTCTCTAAATTCATCTTTGATTAGGTGGGCTGGGGTGGTCGCTTCAAATTTGAAATATGCATAAAATTTGTAGTTTCATGGTCTGAAAGATTTAAAATTTACTATTACCTCTAGTTGATTGTAATTGATAAATTTGTGCGAAGTAACACGTGATACAGCAGAATTTCTCTCTAGGCTGCGAATAGTTTAGATTAAATACATGTGCCATCATGAAATAACAAATACTTGTTTTAAAGATTTTGACGCATGATTATAATAAACTTACATTCGAAATTGAACGGCAGTCGATATAACCGCTTGTAGGTATGCCCCCTCCATTGTCCCTGAAAGAAAAACACTCCAGTTAAAACGAAAACGTGCCTTTGGTAAATTTAAATAATTTTGAAGGTAAGAATATACATACATACATATAAATTAAATCCTTGCCAAGCTTTAGAGAACAAAAAGTTAACAATATTAACCTAGTAAACTTTTGCAAGAAAGATAACATATGAAAAAAAAAGGCCGCGAAAGAGGAGGGGATTGTAAATTTAGTAGTCTGTTTTGTCGATTTTTCACAAAACATACCTATTTTTATTTCATGGAAAGTATGCAATAAGGACTTTCTACGGGACAATTAGAAAAAATGCCACTTTGGTCCAAAATAGTGTAACAATGCTTAACTAACGACGTTTTTGGAGAGTATCATGGAGGTTTGTCGGTATCAAAGTCATCAATGTTTATATATTGGGTTGTTCGGAAAGTCATTTCGTTTTTTTTGGGGAACATGAAAGACAGTTTTCGTATAATGAATAAATATTTTATTAAATTATATATTGGCCATTCTGGTCCAACACCTTTTGCCATCTTTCTGGCAGTAACATAATTCCCCTGTCATTAAAGTTTTGGTCCTTGCTGGCAAAAAACTGGTTCAGGTGGTTTTTGACATCTTCATTTGAGGTAAAGGTTTTGCCATCCAAAAAATTTTGCAGGGACCGGAACAAATAGTAGTCGGAAGGCGCCAGATCTGGAGAATATGGTGGATGTTGCAGTACGTCCCATTCAAGCTGTAAACGTTTTTGGCGAGTGATCAAACTTGTGTGAGGTCTCGCATTATCCTGGTGGAACACTACACCCTTCCTGTTGATTAATTCGGGCCTCTTCTCTTTAAGTGAATCATTCAATTTGTCCAGTTGATGACAAAAGACTTCTGAATTAATCGTTGTATTGTCCCGCAAAAGCTCAAAAAAACGTTTCCTTTGACATCCCACCAAACGGAGAGCATCACCTTTTTTTGGTGAATGTTGGCTTTTGACACGCTTTGAGCCGGTTCATCTTTTCTGCTCCATGACCTCTTGCGTTTAACATTGTTGTATACAACCTATTTTTCGTCCCCAGAAATAATCCGCTTCAAAAATTGATCATTTTCTTGACGTTTGAGGAGCGGATCACACACATCAACGCGACGACACAAATTTCGCTCCGTAAGGACATGGGGCACCCACACATCGAGCTTCGAGGTTAAGCCCATGCCTTTCAAATTGCCATAAACAGTCGAATTCGACAAATTTAATCTCTCACCGATCTCTCGTGTGGTTATTCGCCGATTTGCATCAACTAATGCCTTTATCGCATCTTTGTCAGCTTCGACCGGCCTTCCAGACCGTGGTGCATCTTCGACATCAAAATTGCCGGATCGAAATTTTGCAAACCAGTTCTGGCACTGGCGTACTGTTAACACGCCTTCTCCATACACATCCGTCAATTTTTTTCTCGCTTGGACAGCATTTTTACCTTTTCTGAAGTAAAAAAGTAAAATATGACGAAAATGCTGCTTATTGCTCTCCATATTTACAAGGGCACCAACCAAAAACTACTGCGTAGAATTAATAGAACTTTTTCACACACAAGCCTTGCAATATCAGCTCTCAAGATATATAATGGTTATGCGGCTTAAGTGTGAAGTTGGTTTCGAAAAAACGTAATTAAGTCCTCTGACGGGAAAAAACGAAATGACTTTTCGAACAACCTTATAATTCTTTTCTTTAATATTTTCAATTAATTATCAAGACAAACATTGACAACTTGTCACTAGCGAGAAGTTGACTGATAAAGAGCAGACAAACTTTATTGTTAATTTCGTAACTTAAGTGAACTAAAATCTGTGAATAACTGCTAGGGCTGAAACTGTGTTTGACTCTTAATTGGTTCATAAATGCTCCTAAAATCAATCTCGGCTATGCAAAATTCAATCAATTAAAAAGAAACGAAACAAGACCTCTGAAAATATTATTGGTATAGAAATATAAACTCCCAAATGTACTGCGCCGCACACGGCATCACTTGGCAAAGAATTTAAACACAATATAAATTTTATAATACGTGGAAACTGCACAAGAGCCAAGTTGTTATACAACTTATATATATTCGAAGATTTGAAAGTCTAACGAAGCACTTCGTACCTTGCGAAAAAAGTTCATCAACTTATTCAATTATTAAACCAAAACTCCTGCGAAAATACGGTTTTTAAGTCTTTTATTGTGTCGACTAGGTGGATAAAAATTTCGTGTGATAAGAAAGAGCATTTAACAGTAATTTCTTAACAAGTCAACAATAAATTTGTGCAACCAAAATCTATCGCACGGTTGTTATTATCAGTGGTGATCGAGGCCGAACTTTAGCATGAAATTCGAATACATCTATACATTAGCTTGTCTTTAACTACCTATCATAAAAATATTTTTAATATGATAACAGCTTTTGGTCTTTTCCCATCAACAGAACATTTCGTCCTAAGTATCTCAACAGAAAAAGAACATTGTAGAAACTTTCTGGAGCTGGAAAAAACTTAGACACTAAACTGACTGAAAGGAACAAAACAAAAAATCCTAGAACAAATAAATTTTAAGGGGTTTCTAAATAAATGCCAATACATGAATACAAAAGCAACATAAATAAAACTGGCATGTGAAAAGGTCTTCCCATTTATATTATCTGATCGACTTATTCATCAAAATCTTCAAAATGTAATATTCAAAAAGTTATGTTGGTATAAATTCCATGCATTTTGTTGTACTTTTAAGCTTAACTCCAAACTTTAAATAAAAGATCAGAGACTGAAATATTGATACGTATAAAAAATTGCTTAATTTGGATCAAATCTAGGCAATGATGGTTTACTGCAGGGGTGGGCAAATACTTTAAAGCGCGGGGCAAAATAAAATTTTCAAAATGTCTCCCGGCCGGAGGACTATACCGCGTATGCTTTGCACAAGCGGATGTTTTGGATGGAGTTTTTTCCCTGCCCATTTTTTTTTTGACAAAAACACTAAGTATCATTTCAATTTGAATAAAATATGTCACGTAATTTTTAAAGAAATATTATTATAAATAAATAGCTATTAGATAAATCAGTCAATGAAAGATTTTATTTTGTTACTTATTTATGTCTTAACGATACAAATTATTTTATATTGACACATAGTTATTACAATTTAACATTTATATTGCATTTCGTAAATATAATAGTAAATACAATTCAAAAAAGAAAAGAAAAACATCAAACGTTAAAATAAATATTTAAAGTTAATGCGAAACGTGAAATCTCGAATGTTCATCTGACATTATTTCTTCAAAATTGGGTTCCAAATCACTTGTAACAATCCTTAATACCGAATGTAGATTTTCGTCAGTAATTTGTGATCGATATTTATTTTTCGTGGAAACCATTAAAGAAAAGTTCTTTCACAAATATATGTCGAACCAAATAAAACAAGGTATTTTTGAACATAGTTCAAAAATTTTTTGAAATGTTCGTTATTCAAAGCGCCATAGAAAGCACTCAATTCGTTTGAGTGAAAATTTTCTTTTAGTAAATTATTTGATTGTAAATCAATTAGTTGAATTTCAACAGGAGCTTCTTGCATATCGAAATTGAAAGGTTGGCTAATTAATGATAAATGTTTTTCAATAGCTTTGAAATCTTGAAATCTTCTTTGGAATTCAGAATGCAGGTCTTGTGTTATTGCACTATATTTAAAAAAATCTGTATTTTTCAATGATTCTCGCCGTGCTTGCAATGAGGGGAAATGATTTAATAATTTATTATTAAAGTTTTCAGCAAATAAATTGAGTTTTGTCATAAATGCTTTGACGTTTGAGTGCATATTGAAAGCGAATTGGTTTTTCCCTTGTAGATTTATATTTAGTTCATTCAAATATTTTACGATATCTACTGAAAACGAGAAATCGTTTAGCCAAGCCTTATTTTGCAATTCAGGAAAATCATGTAGTTTTTCTTTTATCGACAAGAAGGATACTATTTCATCAAGCAAATATTGAAATCTGTCCAAAACTTTACCAATGCTAAGCCATCTCACTTCAGTGTAATAAGGAATTTCGTAGAAGTCACTTTCAATTTCTTTCAAAAATTCAACAAACTGTCGATGATTTACGGCACGTCCTTGGATAAAATTCACAACTTTGGTTACAACAGTAACGACGTGATTCAATTTCAAAACTTTTCTGCATAGCACTTCTTGATGAATAATGCAGTGCACAAATAATATATCGTGTTCTGGTTGTAACTCTTTTACTTTGTCGCGAATTCGTTTAAGTAAGCCTACATTTTTCCCTGTTAAACTAGGACAACCATCCGTAGTGACGCTTACTATTTTATTCCAAATTAAACTTACTTTAACTAAACACTCTTCAACAGCGAGAAAGAAGTCTTCACCAGTAGCTGTATCTTTCATTGGATGCACACTAAGAAGTTCCTCGCTAATTTCACATTTCTTGTTAATGCCGCGAATAAATATTAATCATTGACTTGTATCAGTAATATCGCAGGACTCATCTAAAGCCAGAGAACAATAGGTAAAATCGGCAATTTTTGTTCTTAGCTGGTCAAGTAAGTTTCCTGAAATATGTTCAATCCGTCTTCTCGAAAGGCTTACATTTTCAAAAATATGTTTCTTTTCAGGACAACATATCTCCGACACTTGTACCATGCATTGTTTAACAAATTCTGCTTCAGAAAACGGCTTACAGAACTTAGCAATTTTGTGTGCGACAACATAACTTGCTTTTGTGGTAGATTTCTCTATATTACTTTATTTGGTAAAAATATTTTGTTGCTTATTCAAGTTTTTTGCTAAGTTTTCTGCTACAGTTTGAAGTTCTTTTAAAGAAAGTGATACATATTTTGGATGTTTTGTTGTAAAGTGCCTGTTTAAATTGTATTCTTTAAAAGCAGCAATTGTTTCCTGACAAACTAAACAAAGTGCTTTCTTATTAATGTTTGTAAAAAGATATTTTACCGTCCAAGCTTCATTGAAGTTTCTGCATTCCAAATCAACTTTACTTTTTTTAGATTGACTCATTTTACATAGGTCTACAAATAAATAATTTAATTAATACAATAAAATAAAACCAATGTTTTAAAATTTTACTTACAAAAAGTTCACTTTTTTAATTTTATATTTGCAAACTAATATTAGACTCGAACAAAAAAGAGTATGCGATCAGTGCTAAATCAAAATGAACAATACGCGTGATGCGACCTGTCGTCCCTCGAAAAATGAGAGGAGTGCAGCATATGCCGTCCACACATGCATTTCGAACCTAGCGCGATCTCCTTTGTGTTCGACGAAAAAACCGCCCTGAGAGCGATCGTCGCGAGCGACCCGCATGAGAATCGCGCGAGGATTGTTTCAAGCTCGCGACATCTTCCACACTAGTGTAGTCAGCCGACCGCCCATTTTATTACGCCTATTATATATACAGTACGCACACTAATAATGTTGATGTCAACAAAATCTCATAAAAGAGTTTAAAAAAATTTGCGTGCGGAATTTTTCAACGGGCCGGATAAAATTAGCAAAAGGGTCGGATCCGGCCCGCGGGCCGGCTTTTGCCCACCCATGGTTTACTGCATCGCCCCCAATGCATTCGAGTTACGCATAAACATGTATTGCAATTGCGCCAGTCTTTCGAATTGTCTCTTGGTATTTGTCAATGGATGGAACTGCCTTGATTTGTCTTACGGGCGATCGGTATATATTAGATGCAATGCGGAGTTTTCTTGACGAATTTTAAACTAAGTGTTATTGAAATTGATGCAACATTAACAAACAAACAAATATTTTAGGCCGTAAGAAAGTTCAAGTTCTTGTGAATGCTTTTTATTGGATTGTTGGTGACGAGAATTTTTTACAACAGAGTTAAAAAATACAAATTTCTCCTTTATCATTTGTTTAAATGAATTAAATGAAAAAAGGTTTTATTTATTTATTTGCCAAAAATCTAATTACATACATAATTACATATTCGTGAGGTGGATTCTGTTGCATTGACCGTCTGGTAGTTACCAACTCCAAGCCAATGGTAATTTTTGTTTGTTGTTAAATCTACATAAGATGTAAAATATGAATAGGAAACTAGAAAGGCTGAAATTAAAATAAATAATGGAAAGGATTCATACAATTTAAATGTTTATTATCTGAATTTTGTAAGTTATAAAGTACTGTACTAAATTTCGATCTGATTATTCTGATGAGTTCAGTGTGACGAGCTACTCGAAAGAACTATACCCGGACCTATGTGCAACACAGAAAAAATACCCGAGAACGAGTACTTAAATACTAAAAAAAGGAAAGAATAAAACATTTTTTCTGGTTCTAATCCTGCTAACGTTTTTACAATTTATAATATTTTAAGTTGATATATTTCAAGTCGTTAATTTGATTAGTTTGAATGTTGCGCATTGTTTGTTTTCTTCATTCTTAACATTAGGACCAGAATTTTTTTAAACTTCTTGTTCGTATAATATTCTTGTAATATTTTGACGACAGTTTCGGTGTTCTTGTAAGATTGCATGAAGAAAAATCGACATGAATTAATCCAAGCTTGACTCTAAAACGGCAAGTGAATGTGAAAACAATACATGTATGTTCGATTTACTTATGTTAGACCAAACTGAAAATGAAAGGAATCCATAGCTGACCATACAGTATAGGCAGTGACATTGACTTTACCTTCGTAAATTGCAACCAGAACCTCGTCCATGTAAGTCTGAAAATCTATATTTTATTATTAAATTAAAATTAAATTGGGGAGGCCCAAAGGGGGATGGTGTAACCTTATGAATAAATTCACCAAATATTTTAGACATGAAAAATTATTAACTTAAATTTGCCATAGTTATTAATTTTTTTGCAGCTATAGTTGGAGTCTCCAATTTCTTAGCTGTTGACTTATGATGTCATTGACTACAACATTTCAAAATTAACTCAAATAATTCAGGAATTAGAAACATCACGCATTGGATCTCTGGGTAAGTGAGAAATTCTAGCATATTTATTCAGATTTGATTTATTTATACCCATCAACTACTAGGTATTTATAGTTTGCGATTATGGTACCAACCCTCATAATGGTAATACGAGCCCTATCACATAAAGACTCATTCCGAGCATTAAATCCGTGTTCTGTCAAGATGATTTCGCAGCCGTTCCAGTAGTCGCTAGCGTAAACTATAGAATCCCTAAATGTTTTTGGTGAAGACTGCAATGATATGCTATCAGGTCTTGTTTCATTTAAGAAATTTATAGTTACAATATAAGCTGAAGATGCGTCGAGAGACGAATTTGTAAATTCTGTCACTCTCATATCGTTCTGAAAACTGGCAGATAGATTTAGGTGGCTGAGATCGTTTACGAAAAACGTGTTAAATGCATCAACTCCAACGAAATCGTAAGTTCCTTTAATGTCTGCGAGTTCTCAGGGAGTAAACTCAGGTAATCTTGAGACATTTTCTCCTTCTTGTCAGCTTAATTTGCCAACTTGGTCGATGAGTTCTTGAGGGTAGTTTCCTTTTATTATAGGATGTGCGAACCATTCAAACTAAAACATTTAGTTCCACATTAAGTTCTGAAGAAAAATACAAGGTAAAGCTATATTTTCCAGGAAATAGCGAAGTTTTCAAACTGAATAGATCAATTTAAAAAGTAAACTCGAACATGCTTTTACTTACCACAAATGCTCTAGCTCTTTCAGCAGCCTTTTTGTCGGCTCGAGAATTTGTTGCTGGGAGATACCAGTTCAAACTGAATGCCATACCAACTTTGCCTGGAAAACTTAAAATTATTTGCAAGCCAGTACATCGGTTAAACCTTTTTGCTTAGTTTTGTAGTTTTTTTCGTAGTTGCGATACGCAGAGGCGTGAGCTTTAAGTATATTATGACCGCATTGGTATTCCTTGAATCCTAGATGTTGAGGGATAACTGGGTGTAGAACATCTTTCAATACGATCTTGCAAAATGGGTGAGCTTTATTTACAGTAATCCAGAATTTAACACGGTCTCCAAAAGTTTTAAAGAGCAAATCGGTGTAGTCCACGAAGTGTTGCACAGTGGTTTCGTTAGTAAATCCTCCCACTTTTGACAATTCAAACGGAATATCAGTGTGGAATGCAACTACTTGAGGTTCTAAGCCTTTGTTTATGATTAGGTCGATCAAGTCATTGTAATAGTCTATTCCTTTCTGGTTGATGTAATCGATGGTGCCTGTAGATTGAAATTGAAATATGCGCGATCACATTCTAAGTTCTTGTCGCACAAAATCGTGCAATGTACCTTTGGGGAGAATCCTTGGCCAGGAAATGCTAAACTTGTAAAAATTAAGTCCGATATCAGCAAACAGTGGAATATCCTCTGTGTATCGATGATATGAATCGCATGCTACATCTCCATTCTTTCCATCGACAATGACATTTGGAAATTCATGAGTGATATTGTCCCAAAAACTAGATCCTTTTCCATCCAAATTCCAAGCACCTTCGATCGAGTAGGCTGCGGTAGCTGCTCCAAATTTGAAATGAGTTGGGAATTGGTAGTTGGATAATCCGAGACCCCTAAAATTGTTACATTATCGTTTACAGTTACACTATTTTACAAAAGAATTCCTTTAGGAAATAGTCAATTATTAGTACTAAATACAAGCACTTAATTAACCATGCTAATGTTGTCGGGCATGCTTTAGACTATTTTTAAAAGTTTTTATACTTTCAGAAACTTCCAGATCGCGATTTTAAACAGTTCTGACTAACGAATCACTTGAATCATGCTTTGTTATTCCCACCAATTGGACCATAAAATTAATTCTTAGGCCGGCTCCTACGGCTAATTTAAAAATATACTTTCCTCCCGGTTCTAAAGCATTTAGATGTAATAAACGAATAAAACATCATAATTTTAAAGAAAGATACTGATAAACGTATAAAATTAACACAAGAACCTTAATTTTTTTGTTTTACTTACTTCTTCTAAATAAATGCAAGTAATTTAATGGATAACTTATTTTTTTCACTACCCTGTATTAATGACTATATCGAAATTACTAACTAGGGTCGTTAAAAGACCATTTTGTATATTGAAGCAAATTTAAATAAATTTATGTAGGATTCTGAACTGGAAGAGTAATATATAAAATAATAAATATATCAATTGATATATTAAATATTTCATAAATACCTACCAAGGCTATAGGAAATTATACACAAAATAATGCATACTATGTTCCAATTAAAATGAGCAAGTTGAGACCCATTTCCAGCAATACCGTATATTGAAAATATTGGACCCAGATAGCCCCTACCGACTTCAGTATAATCTCAATTTTTCTAATTATAGTTTTCCTATAACAGATCGATACTGTATACACATAATAGATGTTGCAATAAATCAAGCACTGTTTGCATTGAACATAGAAAACCAGACGTTCTCTGAGCATCGCCTAATTTTTCAATTTCATATTGGTGGATAGACAACGAAAAGTTTAAACAGTCTATAGCTAGTTTTTTTTTTGTATATGACAATTATTGTAATTTACTTACATGCAAAATTGAAGGCCAATCGACGTGACTGCTAACAGATATACACCCTTCATTTCTGGTAGGGTCATTGAGTCACAAATAAAGAAAGACAAGTCTTGTGCAACTCTAAATTCAAAAATTAACAGCTTAAGAAAGAAGAATAACATTCCGAGTAAAACATAAGGGTGGTAAAATTTAGAACTCAAGTTTTATGTGTAAACCTTATTTTACACTGAAATAAATTAGGAAAAGGAAAACACAAAGATATAATATCGAAACGAAAATATTTCAAATATTTTTGGGCAAATTTTAGATGAAATGTCAATGGTAAAATGTCCAAATTCTTGCTGGTATTATGGTTGGTTGATTGGTATTGGATTGCTGAATTGTGAGCTGTTCACTTTTTGGGTCAATGTGAAATTTCTGAAATATGATTTGCTTACTAATTTTGAATTATAAACTGATATAGAGACGCCAAATATGTTTTCTTCATTATCTTGCTTTAAGGTTTCCAAAAATATATATCGGTGTGTCTTTGTGGTGGTATCTATGTAAATTGCAAAATCCAGTTATTGCCATTCTCATTAACTTGACAATTATTAAATCACAATTAAAATTTGTTATTTACTAATTATTGATTAATTATATGGGCTCGGGCGTAGAAAAGTGACATTTGTGCCGAAAAAGAAGTAAACATTTGCACCAGACATTATTTGAACATTAAATAAAAAGAAATATTTGCGTACTAAGTTTGATTTTTTGATAAGAAGATTTTTGCAAATAAGCAATAGTGAAGTAGCTGTTTTTATCGTACTCTGTCGTAGTAACGAAATATACGATACAGTTTTTTGATCTATTATCAAACCAACTACAAATTTGATTGCGCGGTACACAGTGACTTGATATTGATTTTAACCGCCAAGTTGTAATACAAGGGTTGGAAAAAAGTTTTTGAATGATTTTTCTTAAATAGAATTGTTCAACGTTATTTGAGCTTCTTTAAACTGAATAACTGCACAATTATTGAAATCCTATCGCATCACGAGAAATCACGCCCCATGAACCTGCCCATGCGCAGATTGAAGCAGGTCCTGAAATCTGACAAAGTATATTGCAACTTACTCAATTACTAAACGAAGTCTGCGTGATAATATTGTTTTTTAAATCTTTGTTGTGTGGCTCTTGTTGATAAAAAATTCGTGAGATAAAGAACATTTGTTTAACCTAAACCTATCGCACGGTTTTATTGAACAAGTGACGTGCTAATTTTGACATAATTTAATAATTGTAAAAATCAGAATTGCTTATAATGGCCTGCGACAATCAACCTGATTATTATAATTTATTTCGCATTGTGGGTTCATTAGTAGCTTTAAGTAAGTGCAAAGTGGCACGGCTAACTGTCAGTTGATCATATTAATTAACAATTGAATTGAAAATATATTTTGTTGTAGTCATCGCTGATTGAAATTTACCGGGAATTCTATCGAATATACCCGATTTCCTACCAAAGTAGTTTGTACTAGTTCAAATTGATTTACCATACTACGATGGAAGTCTAAGTTTGTACGTGGTTCTTATTTCCGAATAAATAATAAGTCTTGGTTTGGGACAAGCTAGTTGATATCGGGTGTTTTCCAATAAAAAAGTTGATAGGGGTTGATTTAAGAGATCTTTAAAAAAAAAACCTTCGTTTGGAGATATATCCTAAACATCTTAAATGGAAAAGGACATAGTAATTACGCTAATTTATTTCTTCAAATACATATTTATGGTATACTTAAAGTTCAAGTTCTTGTGGATGGTTTTATTATTAAATTATTGGATTGGATTAGATTACAAGCAAACGGTTAGCTAGGAGAGAATGTTTTTTTACTACCGAATTAAAAGTTAATTTAAAATTTTAATGTTCATGTCACGTTTGGAAATTTGCTTGTTTTTTATTTGCACAATTGTCACATTTGCTCGATTCTCTCAATCCCTTAAATTTCAGTTGTAGTGGCACTATCAAAATGTTTTATTTTTGATTTGCTGTTCGTTTTCATCGCAAGTCTTTCAATTATTTATTCATTCTATAAAATCGAAGAATATTATAATAATTAATAATCATCTTGATAATAAATTAATAGTTATATAATCTCCATCAGAATTACCGCTATTTCTGCTGCATCCATCGTATGGTAGTTCCCAAAACTAAGCTTGTCGGAAATGCAGCGTCATCCAAGGGGTTAGTTTCATATTATGGTAATTTTTGTTTGTTGTAAAATCAACATGAAATGTGATATAAGCATGAGGATATATCGGGTGTTAGTAGGATACATGAACTCTGAAATGTGAAATAAAAATGGTTCAGATAGTTTAAATTTTAGTTATCTCAACGATCAAGTTATAAATTCGAATATATCAAGGCTTGATGTTGTCAAATCAACATAAAATGTGATATGACCAGAAGAATATATCGGATGTTAGAAGAGTACAAGGAAGGCTGAAATGTGAAATAAAAATGGTTCAGATAGTTTCAATTTTAGTTATCTCAATTTCGATCCAATTGCTCAGGTAGAAACTTATGAGTTCTGTGATGAGCATGCCTTTCGAGAGACAAATCATGATCCTGAGAACGTGCTGTGGTGTACAAAAGCGAAACACGATTCGACTGATGCCAGCGAGAGTAGAGTAGAAGGTAACATACCATTTTCATTTAAACTTGCCAAATGCACACTGAGGGAAATAATTCTGGTTAGATTATTTTATAGCCGTGGGCTGTATTTGTATCTACCTCTTGGTCGTGGACCGTAGGGGTACTTATTGCTCAAAGGACTATTCGTTTCCCATTGTTACAGTCTTTATCATCTGAGGGTGAAGAAGATAATTCCCCAGTACACCCTGGTTTGGATAATATGCAGGTCGATTTAGAAAGAATATTAAGGGGAAACTTCTTCTCGACCTCCCTCACCACAACTCGTAGATAATCCTCCTTCTTCGGAGATGCTGGCCGTAAATACAGATTTTTCGACGGCCTTGGAAGCTCAAGCATCAGATAATGAAATTCAAGGGAAACAGCTCCTAGAGAAAAGCTGGGAGTTTAACAGAGAGGTTCACCAACTGTTCGTAGATTTCCGCCAAGCATATGATAGCATCATCAGGGAAAGTGTCTGGCAAGCGTTAGAAGGCATAGGGGTACCAAAAAAGATCATAAGGCTAACCAAGATATGCATAGAAAACTCTAAAGCCAAAGTTAGGGTAGGAAAGAACAACACCGAGGCAATCTCCATTAACAATGGCCTAAAACAGGGCGATGGACTTTCACCATTGCTTTTCAACATAGTGCTGGACATGGCCATCAAAGAAGCGAATATTGGCTTGGAAATATTTACAAATAAGGGCCCAGAAATGATTTTGGCATATGCCGAAGCAGTACGATTAAAACAAAAGAAATGTTCATGAACATAGAGAAGGAGACCAAGAAGGTAGGACTCATGATCAACGAGGACAAGACCAAATATATGTGGGCCGGACGGAGAGCAGGAAGGGGCAGAATAGGACAGAACATAACCATGGACACCCACAATTTTGAATGCGTAAACCAATTTCAGTACCTAGGAGCAGTTATAACTTCGGATAACAATATCACCAGCGAAATAAAAGCAAGAATACAAAAGGGCAATAAATGTTTTTTCGCCTTGCAGAACCTGTTTAAGTCCCGACTGATATCTAGGAACTCAAAACTACGGATATATTCGGCAGTAATCAAGCCAATCGTAATGTATGGCTCGGAAACATGGACAATGACAAAGCAGAACGAACTAGTGTTAAGACGCTTTGAACGAAGGATGTTGCGGAAAATCTTTGGACCAACAATAGATGAGAGAACGGGTCAATATCGAATAAGAACGAATGCGGAGCTTAACGACATGTACAAAAGACCGAGTTTGGTAAACGAAATAAAAGCACAAAGGCTCAGGTGGGCTGGACACGTGCAGAGATCGCCGAATGAACGTCTTGTAAAGAGGATATGGGAAGAAAATCCAGCAGGAAAGAGACCCTTAGGAAGACCAAGGCTCAGATGGAGGGACAATATCGAAGAGGATGTAAAAATCTTAGGAGTACGGAATTGGAAGGAGGTTGTGTTGGACAGGGACAGATGGAGACGAGTTGTAGATGCAGCTAAGACCCACGAAGGGTTGTGACGCTACGGAAAAAAAAAAAAAAGGGAAACAGCTGCATGATGAAATCTTATCACGCTGGAAATATTATTTGGAAAAAAGCGAAGAAAGAAGAGAGACAGAAGATCAAAGACAAGTATTCGATTCCCAAAAATAACCCGACGATGGCTTCCCCAAAGATTAATGATGAAAAAATATTTCTTAAGGTCATTGCAACACCAAATGGGTCATGGACTAGCAGCGATAGGCGTAATCATGGTTACCTTGATCAAATAAAATTACACCGAAATTATTCTGGTTAGCTGACGCAGGATTATTGCTTACAAACGTCCATAATGTGTCGTCAATGCTTCTGAAACAAAATGTCCTGCCTCTACTAAATATCGACTCGAGCAAAGTGAGCTCCCTTAGTCAATAGGATTCATATTTGTTTGGTGAGAAGTTTGGGAAAGCTGTCAAAAACAAACAAAATTTAGAAAAGAGCAGTAATGAGTTAGAAGAATAGGTTTTCCATCTACATCTATCCTTCAGTACCGTCTTCAGCCGGACAATCATCAGTTGGTCTAGACCATCAACCTCTACTAGACCCTAATCGGGCCCTTCTTCATATAATTCTTCTTCTAGATAGTTAAACTACCGGCGGGGGATGAGTAACAGCCGAATGAAACCGACAATCAGTACAAATCAAAGAAAATGGGCAACCGGGACCAATCCCTACTAAATAACATTTCTGCGTGGCAGAAAATTACACGCGACAAGGTTGTGCTACAGTGGCTTAAAGGTATCAAATTAAAATTTTTGCAGAAGCTTAATTAATTAGTCACAATTTATTCAAAAACACTGGTGCAATCTTTAGATGTTCGTATTACACCCGTGAATTCTTATGTCTATTCTTTCTTGCCACCAAACGGAATGGGAAAAGAGGGAAAGCATTGAATGAATATATTTACGCTCATCATTTCAAACTAGAAGATTTCAGAACAGTTAATAAACTTCTAACCAAAAACTGCTATGTAATAACTTTAGATCTGAAGGATTTCTTTTACCTATTCATCCAAAGTACAGGAAATATTTCAGATTTAATTTAGAAGGCCCCCTATATCTTTACACACATGAAATAAGCGACTAAATATGTACTCATTAAAAACATTTTGTTAGTAGTATATTTTTATGACATTTTAATTGTAGCTCAGAACAAACTTGAATGTGAGATTAATACCATTTTTATAGTGAACCTTTTAAGCACCTTATTAATACAATACATACCGATTAGTTCCAAATTTCATGTTTTTATCTACTGATACTGATAAAAAAATAATCAAACGATTTGTTAAATGAAGTTATAATTTAAAATCATCCAAACCTAAAAATGACTTTACTTGAAATAGAGAACCTGTATTAGGTTATTTAGCAACCCTTTATCCCTTAACAATTTTATCTCTTCAAAAATTAACTATTAAAATAACGGTTATGGCTTTAACTTTTGCCCATCAGATTCAAATATTAAGGAAAATCGATATTCCTAATGCAAACACTTCTAGAAATTCGAATATTTGAAAAACTAAAAACTTCAGTCCCATACAAAAATCAACCTATTTTAACTTTTCCATGTGTTAATAAACCCGAATTATGTGTATCCTCTACTCTAAAACATTATCTACATTTCACAAAAAATTACCGATAAAAAAAAGAAGCCTACCATCCCGTAACAAAACAGCCCTTGAGTAGATGGATTAAGTTGGCCTTAAAAAATAGCAAATGTTGATGTCCGAGGCTTTTTAAAGCAGGGGGATGGAGTCCAAATTTAAATGTTGTCCTTAAATTTTATAATTGTCGTCTAAGTACACCTAATAGTATTTTCGTTCATAAATTTAGGGTTAACTAAATTTTTAGTAAATGCAGAAATTTTTCTTTTTTTCTTTTTTCTATATGTATTCTAAATCTAGTTGTTTTCACATACTTAACTGTATCATATGTTTCTGTTACCTTTTTCATGTTACACCTAGTTATTTATTGCCGTAATCGTTTCGAATTCTTTTTTTCAATGTTATTGTGTATCTTTAAGTGTGGTTATCGCAAAATTGCACCGGCAAGCTTTTAACCGCTACAACGTAATCATATCGGATGACAAGCGAAGGAAAATTTAAAGATTTATCGAATACTTACTTGTATGAAAATTAATCGTAATTTTTCGAGCTTGTCTTTCGGTATAATTACAAGCAACCCGCCCACCCCCTACGCTTATGGGGGGCAAATTTAATCAATAAGTGGCGGTTGTGTTGTGCGATGGTTGGAAATCTGACAAAAGGTTTTTTGCTGTGAATGCGCATAATAAGAAACTACAACGGAATCATATCGGAAGACAAGCTCGAAAAATTACGATTAATCTTCCTTCATTTGTTCAATGAAGTTTTAAGCGAAGTGACTTAACACACATACATAGATTTAAATATTGCATTTGAATTTATTGAGAGAAAAACTAAAACTAAAAACAAGAACGAGAAAAACGTTTATAGATATTTTATCATTTTGTGTAGTTCTGTAGTTATGGTCTTTACAAAATATAAGTTTGTAGATTGATATATTTCTATTGAACAATTTGATTAGTGAATTTGGACATTACTTGTTTTCTTCATTCTTCCCATTAAAACCAAAATTTCTTTAAACTTCTTGTCCGTATGATACTCTTGTAGTATTTTGACGATAGTTTAGGGGTTCTTGTAAGATTGCACGAGGAAAAATCGACGTGAATTAATCCAAGCTTTGATCTAAAACGACAAGTGAATGTCAAAACAAAATACGTTAATGTTCGATTCACTTACGTTAGGCCAAACTGGAAATTAACGAAATCCATAGCAGACCACACGGTATAGGCGGTGACATTGACTTTGTCTTCATAAATTGCGATCAAAACCTCGTCCATGTAAGTCTGAAAGTCAATATTTAGTATATGGAACGTTTTAATCACACACTAGGTATTTATTCAAATTCGAATTTGTGAAAATGGAACTCAACTAAGAGGATTTAAAGCTGATCTGAATGAAGACAAAAAAATAATTTAAAAGTGCTAAGAGTGCGTAGTGAGGAAGCAGTAAATTTTAATCCAGTGTGTTGTGAAATACGTAGAGTACGGGGGCATCGAAAACTGCAACCAATCACAGAAGACTGATAATGCTATATTCTAAAGTGAGACAAAAGACGAGTAATTGATGATGGATAAACTATATATCATCATCTCTTCTACACTTACTTACATATTTCATAGAAAACTAAACTTTGATAAATTTTTAAGGAAGGATTTTCAGTTTTTTTGTTCATTGCAGCATACTACTATAAGCATTCCAGTGCCTTTTACTATTAAGAAATTTTGATATTTTTAGTAATTCATGTAATTTATTTTTCAATGAAATACTGTTTTTTTGACTAAAATCCACGTTTTCTAATAATGAATAAAATATAAAAAAAATAAATGGAACCATAAGATAAATAGAGAGACATTTTTTTATTCTACTTTTTATACGTATAATTAGTATACGGATTTTAAAGTATATATAAAACTGGTTTATAATATTTTATGCAATCATGTGATTGTTTTCAGATATCTTTATTGGGATATTTGGGAAGACAATCTTATTGTTTTATATTATTTTTATTATTTAGAGGGGTTTGGTACTAAAAACAGTTGAAGAAAGCGATAGCGAATCTGAAAAAGAAATAATGTTGTAGGAGTCCCATTTAAAGATTGCATTTTTTCAAGGCAAAATGTCTAACCTGTTATTCACCGTAAGCCACTGGCCACACAAATAAAGGAAAACTTTCTTAAGCTTCATATTCGCACCAGTAAGATCTGATAACGATTTTTGTGAATATTTTAGGTAGGTAAAGATCGTTGAGTAAAATTTGCCACAGCTAATCAAATTTTTGAATTTTACCAGACTACCGAATAATACACTTTTGTAAAATTAATTCTCCAATGTTTTAGCTGTTGATTTATGATGTTATTGACTATGAATTTGAAAATTCAAATAATTTAACGATCTCTTTCGGTCATAGTAATTATTTATGACTATAGAATTGCGCATTAAAAAAATAAAAAATATATAATAAAAGTTTGTAACGAAACATTTGTGATCAAATTTACTAAAACTATTCAGAAGTCGGGAGAAACAATCCATGGAATCTCCACACATGAATATGATCCAATACGAGTCAGGCAACACAGTGCATAAAACCAATGTGTTTAATATACGAGTGACTTAAAAAGTTTACCGAACGTGTTGCATACCATACCTTTTCTACGACCGTTAATTTTTGGCTACATTTTCGCAAGACAACAAGGATACATTCACTGACATGGCCGCCAGAATTGACAAAAATTCAACGCTATTCAAAACATCCGATTGCTCCCAAACCCGTGCGGTAAAATCCCGGAAATGTCCGAAGTGACTGGGTTCCGTGGGAAACGAAACTGACGTGGTAAAGTGACGTTTCCCGCACGCTAGATCGGTGTGTAATTACGCATTTTACGGACGGGAGTTGAAAAAAGTTTTTCTTATCTTTATTTTAGGATCACCCTGTATTGTAAATTTTTAAAAGTAGAAGAACGTTTTAGTATATGTAATCAGTTTTGAGTTCATGATTTATATATAGCAAGGTCTATATAGTTGAATAATTATGGTACTAACCTTCATAAAATTAATACGAGCCCTATCATTTAAAGTCTCAGTCCTTGCATTAAATCCGTGTTCCGTCAAGATGGTTTCGCAGCCGTTGCAGTAGTCGCTAGCGTAAACTATGGAATCTCTAAATGTTGTTGGTGAAGACTGCAATGATACGTTATCAGTTCTTGTTTCATTTCTGAAATGTATAGTTACAATATCAGCCGAAGACGTGTCGAGAGACGAATTTGTGAATTCCTTCACTCTCACATCGTTCCGAAAACTGGGAGATAGATTTAAGTGACTGAGATCACTTACAAAAAACGTTTTGAATGCATTAATTCCAACGAAATCGTAAGTTCCTTTAATGTTTGAGATTTCCGAACGAGTAAACTGAGGCAATCTCGAGACACTTTCTCCTTCTTGTCGACTTAATTTACCAACTTGGTCGATGAGTACTCGAGGGTAGTTTCCTTTTATTATCGGATGTGCAAACCATTCAAACTAAAACATTTAGTATTAAAATTTAGTTCCATATTGAGTTCTACAGGAAAATATAAGGTTAGGGAAAAATGTTCAAAGTTCAAAGATCAATTCAAAACGTAAGCATCAACACACTTTTGCGTACCACAAATGCTCTAGCTCTCTCAGCAGCCTTTTTGTCGGCTCGAGAATTTGTTGCTGGAAGATACCAGTTCAAACTGAATGCCATACCCACTTTTCCTGGAAAACTTAAAATTATTAAGATTTATCACCAAGTCAGTACATCGGTTTAACCTTTTTGTTTAGCTTTGTAGTTTAAGTATATTATAACCGCACTGGTATTCCTTGAATCCTGGATGTTGAGGGACAACTGGGTTTAGAACATCTTCTATTATGGTCTGGCAAAATGTGTGAGCTTCGTTTATAGTAACCCAAAATTTAACGCGGTCGCCAAAAGTTTTAAACAGCAAATCGGTGTAGTCCACGAAGTGTTGCACAGTGGTTTCGTTAGTAAATCCTCCCACTTTTGTCAATTCATACGGTGTATCAAAGTGAAATGCAACCACCTGTGGTTCTAATCCTTTGCTTATGATCAAGTCGATCAGGTTATTGTAATAATCAATTCCTTTCTGGTTGATGCAATCGATGGTACCTGTAAATTGAGCTAGTGGAAATTGAAATAAAATCATAAAATGTACCCTTGGGGAGAATCCTTGGCCAAGAAATGCTAAATTTGTAAAAATCAATTCCGATATTGGCAAACAGAGGGATATCCTCAGTGTATCGGTGATAGGAATCGCACGCTACATCTCCATTTGTTCCATCGGCCACGACATTTGGAAATGCGTGAGTGATATTGTCCCAAAAACTGGGTCCTTTTCCATCTATATTCCAAGCACCTTCGATCGGGTAGGCTGCCGTAGCCGCCCCAAATTTGAAATGATCAGGAAATTTGTAGTTAGATAATCCGAAACCCCTAAAAGGTTTTATTCATTTATTTATTTAATTATTTATTTATTTGTTTGTTATTTTTTTATGGTTACGTCATTTTACAAAAGATTTTCACTAGGAAATACTCAATTACGCATACGAAAACTTAATCAACTAACTTGGAAGGACATGTGGTTCCCAAAGTGGGAGACTCGACGTGGGTCTACGTTGGCATACATTTATATGGAATTTATGTGGGATATATCAGAAATGTAGCTGCAGGGGACCACCGGAACCAGCTAAATTTTAAAAGAAATCTATGAGAAAAAAGGAACCACTGCGAGATTATTTACATTTTAAAATTAATACTTAGCTCGGGTCCTATGATTAACTCAAAAATCCCATTAAGAATAACTAAAAAATAAAGCATAACAAGTTTTCTGGGCGTATTCATCGACTAATTAGATAGACTAGAAAGGCTACGAAAAGTTTGGGTTAGATATAGATAGAGACATTTTTTTAAATTTTATATTAGATTATTTGGTTCATTATAATATACTTACACGCGAAATTGGAGGACAATCGAAATGACCGCTAATAGATATCCACCCTTCATTTTTCCTAAAAAAAAATCACGAATCACGGCAATTGAGCTGGTAGAGTTTTTTGGAAGACAACTCTAAACTCTAAAATTAACAGCTTAAGAAAGAGGAATAACATATTCCGAATAAACCATAAGTTGGATAAAATTTAACAGTTTTATGTGTAAACCTTTTTTTTATGATTGACATATCAGATTTAAAGAATGTATCGAGCTTACGAAAAAAAAAAAGATAACATCGAAATATTGCCACACAAATAGTTGGTCAAATATACTGTAACAATGTTCAAACAATATATAATAATCTAGATTTTTCGGATTGTACGAGGCATATATCGGCATTTTAGCAATCTTGAGGGAAATTTAAATGAAATGTCAATATTGCTATGGATTGCACAATTATGGGCTAATTACGCAAGTCAATTTCAAATTTCTTAAACCTTGCTTACCAATGTCGTGTTATAAAGGAAAGTGGACACAATAAATACTTTCTCTTCGTTTTATTGAGATTTTCAAAAATATATAGCGGTATATATTTCAGTGTGAAAAATCCAGTAAATACAATTTAGATATTTGAAACTTTGAATATATTGCATTCAGGTTTAGCCAATTTACTAATCAGCAATTAAATATTTTGTTAGTTGCTGGTAATTTTCGTTTTTATAAACTGGATAACTGCAATAAAAAAATAGTTACAATTGGAAATGTTTTTCACCCAGCCACATCATCAGAAATTTCCCCCCATAAAGCTATTCATGTGTAGATGAAAGCAGGTACTGAAGTCTAACAAAGTACGCTCCACCTTGCAAGAAAAATGTTTTCAACTTACTCAATTGCTAAACGAAGACTGCTTGAAATTATTATTTTTGAGACTTTTATTGTGCAGTTTTGCTCGATAAAAAATTCGTGAGATAAAGAACATTTTGTGGAGTAGTAGTGCTAATAACAAGTTTGTATAACCAAAACCTATCGCACGGTTTTATTCAACAAATGACGTGCTAATTTTGCCATAATTCAATATTTCTATTGTATTCTAATCGCATAGTACAAAAGGTGTCACGGTCAACTGTCAAATTGTAAAAATATTTCGTTATTGGCAGTGGTGATCGCTGTCACACTTTAGCACAAACCTCGTGGAATATACCCGATTACCTACCAAACCAAATTGTACTAGTTCAAATGAATTTACTAGAAATTATTAAAAAAGAATCAAAAATAGCTTGTTCTGAAGGTGTGTATTCTACGTAAAAATTTGATGGCAATAAAAATAATATTGAAATCTCACTCTAGAAATTAATAAGTTTAATCAAATTGCTACTTTCCCGATGTTCCTTGAACAAATTAAATATGGCAACACATGGGGCATGAATGAAAAGTGTAAAGAACCAGAGGCAATTTAATGCTCGGTGTAGACGCAGTGTACCATACGGTATATTTTATTTATTTCACTGAGCGCATCATTTTGCTTTTAATTTATGGAAAAGCTGGACAGCGTCGCTGGGTAATATACCACGGTTATATCATCTTATCATTTAAATAAGCTCGGATGCATATTCATTATGTAGCTCATTATGCGGAGACTGAAATAAAACATGCTAGTGAAAGGCTATGAAATATTTTTAAAAAAGTAAAAGCAAAAAAATTGTGTATTTGAAAAACGTTTTATGTAGTGATTAGCCTATTCAAGATTTTTCTAATAAACTTCCACAGGCTGTGGCGCGATAGGCTGACTTTTTCTGCATTTTTTCTCCATTAGGTTTGGTCGATAATATCGACATCCAGTCAAAAGCTGTGCAGAAGTTATTCTACACGCTCCAACAAAATAAATAAAATATACTATGTGGTGTATGCTGTCTATAGCTCGAACTAAATTGCTTTATATATATATATATATATATATATATATATATATATATATATATATATATATATATATATATATATATATATATATATATATATATATATATATATGTTAAGGGTTGAATGACATTTTTCGGTAACTTCATATTTTTTTTGTTTTGGGTTAACTTTTTATTTTCGCGCTGTGTATACAACACCCCCACCATACCCAACCTTGGTTAAGCCGCGCGAAAAGACAGACTTGCGTGAGCGTCCGTAGTGCGAACCACGAAAAAACAAGCTGTCTTTTGTGACCGGTTCGCGAGAACCCCGCGCTGTGTTGTGGTCCTTACCATCCCCAACCCTCCAGAAAATACCCCTAAGAAGACCCGGCCGAGCAGACGACGACGCGGGAAACCATCAAGGTGGGTGATTAACCGTTTCGGGTGTTGTATGTCCTACCGTTTTCTTGCCGCTCTTGTCCTTCCCCCAACCCTTTACATATTGGTCCTTCTCCCCAAATCAGAATCAGTCTTTTGGATTTTTATAGTCATTCACAAACTTTAGTAATTTTAAATACATGTTCGCTATCGTGAACAGGTTAGCAAAAAACGTGTAAAGTTTGGAGCGCAAAAAAGCGGTTTCTTAAAGTGTTTACCGTCGTTTCGAATTGCGGCCGTCTTTTTATTTCATTCGTTCTAAGCATATTTTTTGCGTGCTCAAATTCTTCTTCCTTTTAATTTACGTGGGTACTTTGTTTCGAGACTTAGGTGTGCATTTGTTTACAAAACGATTTACAATGTCGGAAATGGATAAATTTATTGCTAAGCGGGATTTAACACTTAGACGCTTTAACGATATATTGTCAGCGGGTCAGAAAGCTCGCGTTGAACCCGATGATGATGAAATTTTATGCAAATTCCAGTGCATGGTGGAGGATTTGCCGAGTTTAGTTAGCACTTTTGAGTCCTTGCAATTGGAAGTAATCTCCTTAGCGAATGATTCGGAAAGAGATCGACAGTTTGCGCTTCAAGATCACTTTGATCAGTTGCATTATTCAATTCGATCTATTGCCAAGCGATTATTTGAGAAAGTGGAACCTAAGGCAGGCTCTCCGGTACCATCTGTAGTTGGTCGAGAGTCGCAAAGAAATAGTAATCTCCGACTCCCCCGTATTATCATTCCGAAATTTGATGGCGATTTGAAAAATTGGCCTACATTTTTTGATATGTTTAACACGTTGATCCATAATAATTCTTCCCTTTCAAACATTGAAAAATTTCAATTTTTAGTGTCTTATTTGGAAAAGGATGCTCTCAGTGTGGTGAAGAATTTGCCAATTAAGGATGCCAATTATAGTATAGCTTACAATGCCCTCGTGAAGCGTTATCAAAACGATCGATTGTTGTTAACCGATTATTGGCTGTCGATCTTTCGGGCTCCGACTATGAAGAGTGACTCGGTTGTTGAACTGAGGAGATTGCTTTCAACATTTTCAGAGAATCTTGCAGCTATCGATAAATTCGATATCGACTTGTGGGATTTTACAAAATTCAATTTGCTTTTAGAGAAACTCGACCCGACTCTCAAGACGAGGTTCGAACTCAAATTTTGTGATAAAGATATCCCAACTTTTCAAGATTTATGTGATTTTTTGGAACAGAATTGTAAAGCTTTAGAAAACTCTTTAGTTACCTCAAAAGGTATTACCCCTACCAAGAGGCTTGAGGTTTCGAAGCGAGTTTCAACCGATACACGTAGACCCACATCTATGATAGCGACGTCTACCCCTCCGAGTGCTGATGTGAGTTGCATCGGTAAGTGTTTATACTGCCCTATGGACTACCATCCTCTGACAGAGTGTGATTCCTTCCTATCTCTTGAGCCCCCTCAAAGGCATGTGTTCATCAAGCAACATCGTTTGTGCTTTAATTGCTTCGCGCGATCCCATGGTGTTGGAAGATGCCCCTCCAAGATTAATTGTCGTGTATGTGGCAAGCGCCACCATACTTTAGTGCATTTTGGAAATGCTACTACCCCCTCCCCGTCGAATGAAGCTCCCCCTGCTTCCACCAACCAGGAAGGTACTATCCCTAGTCCGGTGACCATGATGACCAATCTCTCCTCTCAAAAGGTCGTGCTCTTTGCCACTTGCTTGGTGTCCGTTTCGAATAAATCTGGCAGACTTGTTACTTGTCGTGCACTGTTGGATTCAGCTAGTCAAGCCAGTTTTGTGACAGATTCCTTTGCGAAGAAATTGGAGCTTCCAAGGTCTCTCTCTCCGACACCAATTCAAGCCCTCAACCAAATGTCGACGTCTGCGTTAGGGAAGGTTGCCCTGAGCGTGACCCCCTCCCAAAAAAAATCCCCTGCTCTCCATATAGAGGCTTTAGTTATACCATCTATTTTTGATAAGGTACCCTACCAGGTGATTGATAAGCAGAATCTAAAACATCTCAGGTCCCTACCCTTGGCTGATCCTCACTTCTGTGAACCCAACGAAATAGACGTGCTTTTAGGGGCAGAAGTTTACGGAGATATTTGTTTGCCTGGATTTAGAAAAGGACAGAACGGCGGCCCATGCGCTTTTCGGACCATCTTCGGATGGGTTGTTCTAGGAAAAGTGAATTCTTTAGAACCATCTTCTCCCTTTAGTTTTTATACCACTGTGAGTACTGCTGTTGATGTTTCTTTGAAGAGATTTCTCCTGAAGACAAATTGTGTGAGGAGATCTTTCTCTCTACCCATTCCCGTGCCCCTTCAGGTAGATACGTCGTATCCTTACCCTTTAAGGATAAACACCCTTCACTTGGTGAATCTTACCCTCAAGCCCTTAGGCGATTCCAGTTGTTAGAGGCGCGTTTGGCCAAGAACCCAACTTTGCGATTAGCCTACAACGAGTTCTTGAGAGATTATTGGGAACAAGGTCACATGGCACTCGTTAGCGACCTGCCCCATCTCCCCAAGGTTACTACATTCCTCATCACGCCGTCTGGAAGCCACATAGCGAACCCCTTAAATTGCGTGTTGTGTTTGATGCTTCAGCCAAAACTTCCAACGGACGGTCTCTAAACGATCTTCTATTTACGGGTCCCAAGCTCCAACCCGACATTGGAGCCATTTTGCTCATCTTTCGACTGTACTGTGTGGTTTTCACCACCGATATTCGTCAGATGTATCGTCAAATCCTAGTGAGTGACGCCGACCACCTCTTCCAGCGGATTCTGTGGCGTTTTGATCCCCGCGAAGCAGTGCGAGAGTACGTCTTGTCAACGGTGGTCTATGGACTAAGTTGTAGCCCATACTTGGCTATTCGCGTGTTGCGTCAGCTTGCTAGGGACGAAGGAGCGCGTTACCCGTTAGCAGCCCGTCTCCTAGATTGCCAAACCTACATCGACGACATTATCGGAGGAACAGACTCGTTGGAGGAAGCCCGTGAGTTGAGGGATCAATTAGTATCGCTGCTAAAGCTGGGTGGTTTCGAGTTGCGCAAATGGGCGAGCAACTCCCCCGAGTTATTGAGTTCACTCCCCGCTTCACATCATCAACCCGTTTCCCTATGCGGAGACGACAATCCCAGTTTAAAGGTGTTGGGATTGCAGTGGTGTCCCTTACGGGATGTGTTCTCCTACCGCATCCAAGTAGCGGATAGGACGTGCACAAAAAGGAATATTTTGTCGCAAGTAGCCCAAATATACGATCCCCTAGGTTTTTTATCCCCGGTCGTGTTGACTGCCAAAATTCTCCTACAGAGGCTTTGGTCCCAGGGCTCGATTGAGATGCACCTCCCCCCCGCGACATACTCGAAGATTGGAGTTCGTTTTCATCTCAGCTGGACAGTCTTTCCCTCGTCGGGTACTGCCTAGCAATGGCGTCCAGGTGGAGACGCACGGATTTTGTGACGCTTCGGAGCGCGGATACGGTGCAGCCGGGTATCTGCGAAGCATCAGAGAGGGCCATATCTCTGTCACCCTTCTGTGTGCAAAGAATCGGGTAGCGCCTTTGAAGCGAGTGTCGATCCCCGTCTGGAGTTGTGCTCAGCGTTGCTGCTCGCCCAACTCGTAGATTTCGTCCGATCCACTATAGCCTCTGAGTTGACTATCACGAGAGTATTCGCCTGGAGTGACTCCAAAATTGCGTTGTCTTGGATAAAGTCCTCCCCCCACAGATGGAAAACTTTTGTGGCCAATCGCGTGTCCCTCATTCAGGACATCATTTCCCCCAGTTCCTGGCATCACGTCGCCGGTTCATCCAACCCTGCTGACTGCGCATCCCGAGGGCTTTTCCCCGAGCAAATATTAATCCACCCCTCTTGGTTCTGTGGTCCCCCTTGGTTACGTCTTCCGGTGGAAGAGTGGCCCACCTTCGACTTCACCCCCGGAGACGATCTGGAACTGGAACGTAAACCAGTGTTGACTTGTGTGTCCACCCCTTTAGTTGACTCGCTCAGAGAACTGTTAACCCGTTTCTCGTCGTTACGAAAAATTGAGAGGATGCGGGCTTATTGTTGTAGGTTTCTAAATAATTGTCGTACCCCCATTCCCAAGCGAGCGCTTGATAATTTGTCTTTTGCAGACACGTACCACGCCCGCACATTGCTCACAGGATACGGCCAACGTGAGGTGTTCGCCGGTTTGATGAAGTGTCTTCGAAACGGTAAACTGTGCCCCAAACCTTTACGCTCCCTAGCGCCCTTTATCGACGAGCACGGTCTCATTCGAGTCGGTGGCAGACTCCGAGGTTCTGCGCTGTCTTTCGACGCAAAACATCCTCTTCTACTACCTCGAGACCATCGCTTTACCGAACTCGTTATCGAAAAGTTCCATAAGGAAAATTGCCACCCGGGCCCCCAATCGTTGTTGTACCAGATTTCACAACAATTCTGGATTTTGTCCGCCCGCAGAGCAATTCGCCACACCCTATCGCAGTGTTACCGATGCTTCCGTGTCCAACCTTCTTGTGTACAGCCATTCATGGCTGATTTATCCCCCGTTCGTGTATCGCAAGTCAAGCCATTCGCGCATACCGGTGTCGATTTCGCCGATCCAATTTCCATTACCCTTGCGCGAAGGCGTGGCGCTAAGACTCAGAAAGCTTACATTTGCCTATTCGTTTGCATGGCTACCAAAACCATCCATTTGGAATTGGCTTCTGAACTCAGCTCCGACGCATTCTTGGCCGCTTTTCGGCGCTTTGTCGCTCGCCGCGGGCGTTGCACTGACATGTATAGTGATCAGGGTAGAAATTTTGTCGGTGCTAACCGGTTGTTGGTACAGTATTGCCAGCAGTCCGCCGACCAGTGTGAGGTGCGCTGGCACTTCAACCCACCCTCCAGTCCTCACTTTGGAGGTCTTTGGGAGGCCGGCGTCAAGTCGGTAAAGATCCATTTGTTTCGTGTGATAGGCTCTCAAATCCTGACTTTCGAGGAAATGTCGACAGTGTTAACTCAGGTGGAATCCATACTGAATTCCCGCCCATTATGTAGTTTGAGTTCCAACCCAAACGATTTGCATAGCCTTACTCCTGGGCATTTTCTGACCCTGGAGCCCCTATCTGCCCCTCCCGACGACCCTTTAGCTAATCTGAACACTAACAGACTCACTCGTTGGCAGCTCGTGCAGCAGTTGCATCAGCACTTCTGGGACAGATGGCATCAGGAATACCTCCACCAGCTGCAGTAACGGCATAAGTGGAACACCACGACTAACCCCCCGAAAGTTGGTCAGTTGGTTTTAATTAAAGACGAGAACCTCCCCCCGTTAAAGTGGCTTCTGGGCCGCATCACGCGCTTGTACCCCAGTACCGACAAGGAAATTCGCGTTGTGCAAGTGCACACGGCCAAAGGCACTTTCGATCGACCTTTGGTCAAATTATCTTTTGTCCCTAACTGTTAACCTGTTCAAGGGGCAACCGTGTATATAGTATAGGATAAGTTTATGGGAAAAATTGGGTATTTTTGGGAGGCCGGAATGTTAAGGGTTGAATAACATTTTTCGGTAACTTCATAATTTTTTTGTTTTGGGTTAACTTTTTATTTTCGCGCTGTGTATACAACACCCCCACCATACCCAACCTTGGTTAAGCCGCGCGAAAAGACAGACTTGCGTGAGCGTCCGTAGTGCGAACCACGAAAAAACAAGCTCTCTTTTGTGACCGGTTCGCGAGAACCCCGCGCTGTGTTGTGGTCCTTACCACCCCCAACCCTCCAGAAAATACCCCTATATATATATATATATATATATATATATATATATATATATATATATATATATATATATATATATATATATATATATATATATATATATATATATATATATATATATATATATATATATATATATATATTGAAGGGAAAAAAATAGGTGAAACGTAATGTACTTTATTTTCGGAAAACACGTTGAACAACTTTTTACATCGAATACGAAATATCTAATTTGCGTCCTTTTTGTATAATTTACTTTTTTTAGTGTTCGAAGTGTTTTCGGAGCGCGAGCATTGAAGATGCCAAGTGAGATTTTGGCGAAACGTCTGCAGGATTCCAGTCGGAGTTCAACAAGCGAACGGATGATGTCCCGGAATATAGTGTCATCATATATATATATATATATATATATATATATATATATATATATATATATATATATATATATATATATATATATATATATATATATATATATATATATATATATATATATATATATATATATATATATATATATATATATATATATATATATATATATATATATATATATATATAACAATCTACACCCTTCTTTCTGTTGAGGCTATTACTACAACAGTTAATATAACACATCTCTAAAAACTTACATATACAACGTCTGACTTATGTAACGATGGGGTAATGTCTTTAAGATTGGAATAGAAAGATTTGAGGGGTCTTAAGTTGTAATTGGCAATTTTTATATTAGTATCTTTAAAGATCCTAATCAGAGCCGGGGACAATCTATCTATATACTGTAGTTTGCCAAAACTAGGCAACTCATTATTAACATTAAGCTGTGGTTGTAAAGCATTAGGCAGGTCTGTAGTGGTACTATTACAGGAGAGAATTTTATTTATTAACGATGGTGGGTATTTATTATTAATTAGTAGGTTCCTTAATAACATTAAGTTCTTATTTAACAGACTATGGTGACAAATTTTTTTAATGCGATCAGTCAATGCTACAATCATATTGATCTTTTGTTTTTTAGGGTGATACGATGTGAAGGGAATGTATCTACCGGAACTAGTAACTTTTCTATGCCAATCAAGAATAACTAAATTTTCACTAGTGCGAATGACCTTTGTGTCAAGGAAAGGGACTGAACGATCTGTCTCAGTCTCCACCGTGAAAGTGAGATCGGAATGAAAGGAATTGAAAATTTCAAGTGTGGATTCGATGAGGTTAAGTGGAACTGCTGTTAATAAATCATCCACATATTGATATATGAAGGGGAATTCAAAACTAACTCTGTCTATCACATAATAAAGTAATTTGTTCCTAACAATCTCAGCAATCACAGGGGAGGCCGCACCCCCCATAGGAAGGCCCTTCACTTGTTGGTAGAATTTTCCATCAAATGAGAAAAAAGTATTATTATATAGAAAAGTTACCGTATCCAAAAACTCCTTCTTAGATAATGTACAGTTGGGCTCAACCAAGTCAAAATGTTCCTCTATAATATCAACAACTAACTGTAATGGAATATGAGTAAATAAGGACACTACATCGAACGAGACAAGCGAAAAATCAGATGGTAAAATAGACTCATTAATACGCTCTGCAAACTCAAAGCTATCTTTAACCCTAAACTTATTGAAGCTACTAAAAGACTTATAAAGAATTTGACTGATAAATTTAGCTAAGGGTTGCGTCGACGCACCTACACATGAAACAATCGGGCGTAAAGGGTAACCATCTTTATGTATCTTCGGCAACCCATAATATTTGGGGCAGACACCATTGTAGGTTTTGAGGTTACGAGCCGTGGTATCATCAATATAGCCAAGGTTGTTAATTTTCTTGATAATATTATTGCATTGCGTTTCTATTGAATGTGTAGGATCCCTTATTACAGGTAGGTAAGTGTTAGCATCATTTAATAATATGAGAGATTTTTCTAGGTAATCTTCTTTAGTCATAGCCACCGTGACATTACCCTTATCAGATTTAGTGATAACCAAGTTAGGATTAGCTTTTAAAAATCGTTTCGTACGACGCTCTATATCATATGTAGGTGGGGCGACACTAGTAACAACACTAGAATTAATGTAATTAGTGATGAGATTAGTGGCCCTCGTTCGCAGGAGGTCTCGTTTTTGTTCATCTGAGTTCTGGATAGTGATTTCTACCTCAGAGAGTAGTTTAAAGATATCTATATGTTGAGGTGACACAGGAAGGCTGAATTTAGGACCAAGCGAAAGAAAACCCCTAACATCATCAGGAATCTCAATATTGGACACATTCTTGAACCAATTAGAATTGTCAGTGGTATATAAATCACTACTATTAGCTTTCCTTGATTTTAACTTTCGAAGGTTAGACTTTTTTATCTTGTTAAATAGTGTGTCATATTTAATGTTTTGTGTATATAAAAATTCGTCAAGGACTCTAAATGGAATGTTACATCTTAAGAAATCAACAGCCCAACTAAGTCTAGATTCCAACATCTTAATTGCTCGACAGGTGTCATAGATAGTAATGTTATGTAATTTATGTGTTACCTTCTGAGTTAAAAATTCTATTTGTGAAGTGTTATTGTGGTTGAGTCGTTGAGGTATCTTCCAAAAATGTTGTGTACTATCCTCCAAAAATCGGGGGGTAAGGTGCAATCTTCTACATTCTAACAAGAAGACGCGTCTGTTACGTTGATGTGCAAGTCTTATATTAGTGTTGGTGACCGTTTTTAGTGCTCTGGCCACAGCTGGTCCAAATTCCATTGTCATCCTCTGATAAAATGATCCCATGATCTACGTCTACAAGAAAAAGCGAAGGACAGTAACGGGGCTACTGGTAACACACAAACAAACTGTTAATTATTGGGATCACCCCAACTTCGATGGATCGCCGTAAAGGGAGCAATAAAAGATGTTGAAGCTCAAAGCAAAGTGGCAATTTATTGTAATATCTAGCTTTCGCCCATGGATACAGGCTTCATCAGGACACTAAGTCATATAGAGAACAAAAAAACACTTCATCAGAGTTAACAATCTAACCAAAAAATAGTGAAAAAACTTACACAACACGCCTCTTTCAACCTCTACATATAGAGAGATGACATTGGTATATAAAATAAAGTGTTTCGCCCGTTCTAACTATCAACATAACACTTGATGGATAAAATTTATGGAAAAAATTTACAATTGTAAAAAATATTAACATCCACCACAACGTTACAAAGCAATCCCACTAACATAAAACGTTAAGGTCAATAAAATATCCGGATTGATAAAATTTTAAAAGATGAAAAAAAGGCCGATTTGTTACAAATGACACTCCGTATTGTCGAGAAGGAAAACTAAATGTGCGGGAACTTATTAACAAATCGCAATAACCTAAAAAAGCCACAACCAAAAAACCAGTCAATGATACCAACTGTACAGTCAACCATAATGTATAGAACCTCTATACACCTTCGTGTGTGGACTGTATCTTGCTCTCGTACCGTCAAACGCACTTTCCCTTGTGGTGGTCAGTTCGGTACTGGCGCGCTGGGCGGCATCCCTTTGGCTGCACAAACGGTCTGGCACGCACTTGGACCGTGATTGATGCATGATAGTCACGTGACTCTGGCGTGTTCACACATAGCGGGGTTTCACATATAGCAACGAAAACTAATAGGTTCTTAACATGCCCCCCGCCTTGAAAGAATGTAAGTTGTTTCAAAATGAGAAAGTTCAAACTAAACACTTATTACAATGGTCAAATGAAACTTAAACATGATGACAAAGTGTCAGGTAGAAAAATGAAAAATGTAATTTAAAGGTTAGTAATTGGAAGCGGACACAACTTTAGGACAGCGCGTTTTATCACTCCCGATGTGGTCTTGACTGAAACGACGCGCACAATATTGTCACTACCTGGATGAAGTTCAACTATACGCCCTAGCCGCCATTTGAACGGGGGTAAATTGTCATCGCGAACTAAAACCATTGTACCAACTACAAGATTATGCTGATTCTTTTTCCATTTAACTCTTTCTTGTAATTGACCAATATATTCCTTCGTCCATCTTTTCCAAAAGTGTTGTTTAAGAACTTCCAATTGTTCAAAGTGAGAAAGACGATTCAAAGGAATATCCTGTACATTTGGATAGGAAATTGATTGAAGTGAACGACCAATTAATAGATGAGCTGGAGTTAACACCCCTAGGTCGTTTGGGTCAGAAAAGAGTGGCGTTAGAGGTCGAGAATTCATTACGGCCTCTATCTGCGTGAGAACTGTGTAAAAACTTTCAAATGTTAAAAGGACATTAGATAGTATTCTTTTGATGTGATGCTTCGCTGATTTCACTCCTGCCTCCCAGAGACCTCCGTGGTGAGGCGAGTAGGCTGCTATAAAATGCCACTGTATATTTAAGTCCAATCCGCACTGATTTTTTACAGAATCTGAGTTGTTTCTTAAAAAATCGCCCAATTCTTTCAACTGATTACTAGCCCCCTTAAAGTTGGTACCATTGTCAGTATATACGTTGGTTGGTCTACCCCTGCGAGCTATGAACCGTTGAAATGTCTCTAGAAAGGCTTGTGTTGACAATTCAGTGACAAGTTCGAGATGAACTGCCTTGCTAGTCAAACAAATAAAAAGTGCGAGATAGCATTTTTGTATTTTACATCCGCGTCCCTTGCGATCTTTTATTTGGAAAGGGCCGGCGTAATCAATGCCTGTGTCTGAAAAAGGTGGCCTTGGTGAAATTCGCGCCTCTGGAAGATTACCCATTATTGGAGTCGGAATACTGGGATTGAATCGAAAGCACACAATGCATTCTCTTACAATGCGCTTGGCAAGATTTCTACCTGCGACTGGCCAGAAAGTTTCCCTGATATGGGAGAGAAGTAATTGTGGGCCGCAATGCAGAAGGACTTTGTGTTCGTACCTAAATAACAAGTAGGTAAAATGATGTTTTGAACATAAAAGTGCTGGGTGCCTTTTATGAAATGGGTATAATGAATGTTTAAGTCTACCTCCTACACGAATTAGATCATCGTCAAGAAAAGGGGTCAAACTAAGAAGTCTGCTTTTTGAGGAAACCTGATTTGACTTTGAAAGTTCATGTATTTCCCTTGAAAGGCTTTCGCGTTGAGACAACTTGGTTAAAACTTCCTTTGCATGACGGAGTTCGAAGATTGTTAAAGGTTTGTGATGTCCCTTGGAAGACTTTATTTTGCATAATTTTAAGATTGATGAAACATCCTGACACAAATGTACTGCCTCTTCGAAACTGTCAGCTCCAAATAGCAGATCATCGACGTAGAAATCCTTACTGATGACTCGAGATGCATGAGGATTCAATGATTCGTATTCGATAGCTAACTGTTTTAAGCAGCGTGTGGCTAGAAAAGGAGCACTTGCCGTACCATAAGTCACAGTATTAAGAGAGAAAGTTTGAAGTTCATCCATGGGATCTGCTCTCCATAGAATAAGCTGCAAAGGATGATACTCCTCTTGGACTAATATTTGTCGGTACATTTTACAGATGTCTGCAGAAATGACATACTGGTGTTGCCGAAATCTTAGCATGATGGAAACCAGATCATCTTGTACCACAGGCCCAACCATCTGGATAGAATTGTAGGATACATCTGATGAAGAGGGAGCTGAGCTGTTAAAGACTACTCTAAGTTTCGTAGTAGAGCTATCCTCCTTTAGAACGCCATGGTGTGGTGAATAGTATCTAGGTTTGGAATTGGATGAAGCAAAAATTGACATGTGGCCTAGATCGTGGTATTCGGTCATAAAATCTGTGTACATGGCCTTTAATTTGGGATTTTTCGAAAGTTTGCGTTCCAGCTGCAAGAATTGGTTTGTTGCCTGTAACTTGGAATCCCCTAAAACTTCTGATGATTTCTTAAGTGGAATGGCTACAGTGAATCTACCATTTGAACCGCGCTTAAAATTATCAGAGAAGTGTTTTTCGGCTTGAAATTCCTCATCCGACAGGATCGGCTCACTTGACAACTCTTCGATTTCCCAAAACTTGGCTAACTGCTTTTGAACATCTAAAGTGGAGAGATGACAGAAAGAATGATTTGGGGTGGAAATGCCTAACAGACCAGAAATGAACCATCCTAATCTACTGTTTTGTAGAATAGGCTTGTGTGACCCGAGAGATATCTTTTCATTATCAAGTAAATCCCAAAATGTATCTGCGCCAATTAGAAGATCTACTTGACCTGGTTCATGAAATTTAGGATCGGCTAACTGACAGTGGGATGGTATTTCTAACTGGATGGGATCGAAATAGCAATTCGGTAATTCACCCGTAATTTGTGGGATAACTAAACAAGTTAGTTGTCTTGAAAACTTGGAATAACAAGATTTGAATTTGACAAAGCATGAGTGTTTTATACTGGAATTGCTTTGACCAATGCCTAAAATTGAGGAATTGAATTTGTGTTTTTCGATACCTAACTTGTTAACAAATTCTGAAGTAATAAAGTTGGACATTGAAGCATTGTCAAGAAGTGCTCTGCATAAATGTTTTTCACCATCAGAATCAAATACTTCAACTACCGCGGTGGCAAGCAAAACTTGGCTTTCGGGGTAGGAATTGTGTAATGTTACTTTACCTTCAATAGGAGTTTTCGATGATTCGGGTTTTGAATCAGAAGAAGTAATCGATTCCTTTTCCGATTCAGCTTGATGCAATAGCGAGTTGTGTTTTTGATTACACTGCCTGCAGTGACCTGAACGACACTTTTCAACAGGATGCCCACTGTGTAAGCAATTGGGGCACAATTTTAAAGATTGAACTGTTTTATACCGTTGGTCAATGGACAGTGCTAGAAACTTCGGACATTGAAAAATGGAATGCTGTTCTTTGCAATGATAACATGCAAATGTCTTCTTTTCATGAGAGGAATAAAATGCTTTCTTTGGTTTTCCTTTGTGCATTGAAACTTTGTCAAGAAAATCAGCGCGATTTGAAAGAAATGATTTTAATTCTGATAAGGTGGGCAGTTCCTCATTGAACTCTAGCTGTTCCCATTCTCTTATCGTATCGACATCTAATTTGCTTGTTATCAAAAATATGATCAAAGGATCCCAAAACTGAGTTTTTATTCCTAAATTTTCAAGTGAACGCATGTTTTTTGAAATGATATCGACTAAATTTCTAAAAGAATTTGACGAATCAGATTTAATATCATGAATGTTGAAAAGAGCCTTAATGTGATTGTGAACCAACAAAGGCTTGTTCTCGAAACGCTGACATAAAATGTCCCACGCTACATCATAATTTTCGGAGGAAATATCAATGGATTGGATACACTGAACTGCTGGCCCTTCTAGTGAAGCTTTCAGGTAATGGAATTTTTCGATAGAATCAAGATATTCACTTTTGTGTACAAGTGAGACGAAAGTATCTCGAAATTCTTGCCATCGCTCATATTGACCCGAAAACTTTGGCAGTTCAATGGTAGGAAATTTCGCATGTGGTTTCCGGTGAAAATTTGAATTTTGGGGAACATTGGCAATGATGGATGTGCTCGAATGAGTTTCATCTTCCGTTGAATTTCTGTTGAAATCATTGTGCGATGAAATGAACTGTTTTGCTTCCGAAATTAAAGCAAAATACGAAAACTCAAATTTTTCCAACTCAGATTCCGTGAAATCATTCGAATTTAAGCCCTCAAGTTCAAACTGAATTTCAGAAAATTCCGAAAGTAAATTCGATTCAATTTCTTTCAAGCGTAATTCAATTTCGAGTAGTGTCGCTCGATTAGGATTTTCAGTTTTCGCGGCATGAAAATAATTTGAAAAACGCGTTAACCTGCTTTTTATGCTAGCCCGTTTTCTTACCAAAATTTGAATTCGAGCATTTACTTCACCATCTTCGGTATCTGGGAAGTCGCTTTGCATATTTGGGTTTTTTGATTTTCTTTTTGCTGGCATTTTTTGAAATTTTTAAAATCAAATCAACAATGAATTATTTTCAGAATTTTGCGAACTCGATATCACTGAGATGCACTGAAATCTCGATCCTAATGCAACGTAAATGACTCTTTGAATTAAATTTACACCAAAATTGCAATTGCAGTTTTTCCAAATGTAAATTAGCAAATTTCTTTACGATTGGAACTCCTTTTTACAAAAAAATTCAACGATCTTTGGATGAAATGTACAATTTTGTTTGGAAAACGTTGATGAACAATGAATGAATGGACGCAAATAACTATACGCAGTCGATCGTAAGTTTGTCTTAGAAAACGGAAAAATTTGGAACTTTTTCCGATTGTCCGTAACGCGAACGCACAACGCGATGAAACAGTTCCGACGGCGACAGTTTTCTGCAT